TTTGCAGGCAGTGGCGGGCAGTCCTGGCCAGGGCTGTTGTGATTCACCAGGGCTGCTTTTGGGATTTTGGGCACTCATCCTGCTTTTGGGGACTCATCCTGGTCACTTCCAGTGCCAAATGATCCCTCCAGGCGCCGACTGATCCCCACCCAGCTCCCAAAGGCTGACTCAGAAATGCTGGGATGCTTCTCCAGCACTGAAATGCTCCTGCAGCAAATGTTTGAGTGGTGCAGATCCATCTTCTGTCCGAAACAGGCGCCAGAGCAGTGCCTGAAATAGCAGAGACAGGGAGGAAATAAAGAGGGGATTTGGCAAGGAAATGATCAGAGGAAAGGCAGAGGTCAGCTCTCTACATCAATCATTTAATCTCTGCATTTCTTGTCACGCTTGTAAGCCAACATCTGCAAAAAAACAAGGTGAAGAGTCAAAGTTGAGAGAGGAAGTTGCTTCAAACCACAGCTCATGCCCCAAGAAATCAGCAACATCAGGCATGAGCCGCTCTCTGAAGGTGAGGGGTTTGGAGGCAAGAATAAAGAAATGTGTGCAGCCCAAGGAGAAAAATGCTCTGTTCAGCTTCTCTTGTAATCCTTGGCTGGGTCAATTAGCCACTCTTTATCCTCCTAAGCAGCACAGCTGCACACCCAGCCTTAATGGAAATGGAATTATGGGGAGAGCTTCTGTCACAATGACAGGAGCATCCAGAACTGACTGTAGGAAGAGAAGGGAAATGGGAGAGGGCTGACATTGCAGAACAGATTCTGTCTTTGATTCAGCCCTCCATTTCCAGGAGAGCCATTTTCAGCCTTTGGATGTGTTCCATGGTCCTCCCCAAGTCCCGAATCTCCTGTGCAGATTGCAGGAATGTTGTTATTACCAGCTGGAACATTTGCCCACTGCTCTCCCCCAACCCAAGAAGGGAAAGTGCTTGAGGAAGAGAATCAGAGGAGAAGGAAAAATAGTGCACATCTAATGAAACCAAGCCATCATGCCCTGTTCTGTGAGGGAGCTGGCATTGAATCAGGTCAGAGAAATTAATAAATGCACATAAAACACTGCTGAGAGGCTGAGTGCAAGGATAGCTGGACCAGCAGTGCTCTGTTGCAATGAATTCACCTCCTAAGGTCAGACAATAAAAGCATCACTGGGAAATAAAAGAATGTTGAATCAAACCCTGAAAGCTGAAGGGGTTTAATAAAAAGTGTATTCACATCAACCACAAATTTAAAGGTGAAACCCTGCTCTTGAATACACCCAACAGAACAGTATTTACTTCTCTGGTAACACAAAGACATGAAATTGGTCCTGGCTTGATACCTCTGCCAGCTCTTACCTTGCTGCAAGCTCTGAGGAGAATCCTTCATCCCCTTCCTTCGTGGAAGGACTGAGGAGGATCCTTCATCCCCTTCTGTCTGTGGCACTGCAGCCCCACTCAGCTCCTTCAGCCTGCTGTAAGAAGGGCAGGAAATGTCTCTTTAGAGCTACAATTCAACTACCCTCCAAACAAAGCCAAACAGGCCCTGGAGCCCAGCAGAGCTCTGCATGGCTCATCCCTGATACCCTTACCTTGATGCTTTGTCAAGGCCTGACCTAGAGCAGAGACTAGAGGAGTTAAAGAATAAAGCAGGGATTTCTTAGAAGTCCTCAATGGATCCACCTCGGGCAGCACAAGAACCCAGCCAGGCTACACCCAAAATGAACCAAAATGGTCATAAAATGGACACAAGGTCTCTCATTTTTATACATTCTGCTCCATTTGCATATTGGAGTTCATTGTCCCATTCCAGCTTTAGCCCAGGCAGTCCCACCCTGCTTGTTTTTCTCTCTCCAGCCCACGTTGTTTGTGCTCCTGGGCTGAGATTTGGATCATTTGCCCTTAGTCCCCAGCTGGAGAAGGAATTGTTTTGTCCCCCTGCTCTGTGCAGAGACCTCACCATCCCCTAATATGAAGCTCAGAACTGCACAATAAAGCAGCACAGAATGTGAAAAACATAAAATCTAAGAGCTGAGGCAGCAATGCCCTGTGCTTTACAATGAAGAAGTACTGATGTCCTTCTCCTGGTGAGCTGAGCTCCCTTTCTCCTGCAAACACCCAGGTAGGTCCCTGCATTCCCACAGCTCTGCACACAAACCTGGCAGCTCCTGAGCACACCGAGGGAAACCCAAAGTTTGGGGATCTTCCTGCTGTGTGACAAAGCCACGAGCAGCTGGTGTCACCTCCGACTGAAGCAGCATCACCAAACACATCCTGTCCTCCTGTGGGAGGCACAAAACCGTGAAGAAATGCAAAGCTGGGTAAGTGAGGAGGCCCACAATGATGAAAGGAGGAAACTGTGGTTCTGCAAACCCTCTGCCACCTTTGCACCAGGCAGAAAGGAAGGTCATGAACCGTGCTGGCAGCTCCACAGCCTCTGGGAGATCTGCAGCAGCTGATCTCCTCCAACACCTGGCCCCAAAGTGCTGCCAGCTCCTTCACCTGCCTGAAAGAGGCATTTCCAAATCTTCTGTCCCTCAGGGAGGTGCCACAACCATGCCACAAAGCCAGGGCCACTCAGCCAGGCTCCTGCAAAGGGCACTTTATTCAAAATGTAGATTGTAAATAAATTTAGAAGCAGGCACGGCCAGGCTCCCATGGAAACCTCACAAAAATCCAGCTGTGGTTTGGATGAGTTGAGTCTTGGCAGTCTTGGCTAATCCCTTAAGTGCCATCCAATGACTGCAAATGTGTTTGGCATCTGCTGCAGTGATTGCAAAGAATTAAATGGTCGATGGCACTCGCCGGAAATTACAAGTCACAGCACCCTGTAATGTGTTTAGGAGGGAAAAAACATCTAAAAAGGAAAATAGCATTACCCACCACAAGAGCTGACCTCCTTGAGAGCCAGGAGGGACAACAAAAGGCATCCAAGTAATGAAGGAAGCTTAATTCAGAGAAGGAACTGGAAAAATAAAGGGGAGAAGGATTGTTTGTTGTTTTTCCATCAGGCAATATTGGTTAGGCCAAAGGAGACAGGAACTCTTTTGTCTTCTGAATGAGAAATCTTTGTTTATTCTGCTTCTGCCTACAAACACACATTAGATCTGTGGGGTTTATGGTCAACCAAACATGTCAGAAATAAATAAAACAACCACAAAAATAGGAGACAGAGAAAGGAACACTACCAAGTGTCTGTCCTTGACTTTCTTTGGAATCCACAAAGGGGTGCCTGAGATAATTTTACTGGAAGAACACGAGGTCTGGCCGGGCATCTTTTTTCCCCAAACCCTCCAAATTGCAAATACTGATAACCTGCAGCTGATAAATCACCAGGGTCAGTCTCTCAGATTAAAGAATTAAAGATTTCCCTGTGTTCAGTAGGGAAAGGGGAGCATCAGGATGAAATCCCTGAAAGAACAGGAGGCCTTTGCTTTAACTGCATCAGCACAGGAGTTCCACACAGAACCCTAAATATTTTCTGCTCTGCAGTGGCAAATGTCCTCCCCCTGCTGCTGTCCCACAGTCAAAAGCTGATTTCACTAAACTCAGAGGCAGCACAAAAGGTGCAGAATTTAACTCTGGAACTTGATTTCTTCTCTGTGCTCAGCAAACCCATCTGGATGTCTCACTTGTCGCTGTCCCCAGGGAAGTCCGGGCTGCCTGTGTGATCCTCAGTGTGAACTTCTTCTCTTTCAGGTGGAGTTCTCTGCTGAAGATCACTTCCCCCTGATTTTTTTTTGTTCCCCCAGGCATCAGCAGAACAGCCCTTTAAGCTTTTTAAGAACAAGGGGAAACAGAAGCGAAAGGAACAAAACATCAGCTGCTTTCCAGCAACGCCTGGCTCAGGCTGCAAGAACCCAGTGCTGTGCTGCCACCAAGCTGTGTCCCCTGTCCACAGCCCGAGTGACAGCTGCGACAGCGACACGGAAACCTGCAGGGCTTTACAGTTCACCTGAAATAAATTGTATTTTTACCCATGTATAGAATACATGAATACATAGAATCACAGACTGCTGGGCTTGGAAGGGCCTTAAAGATCATCTCTTCCCCACCTCTCTGCCATGTGCAGGGACATGTCCCCTTATCCAGGTTCCTCAGGGCTTTTTCCAAGCTGCCTTTGAACACTGCCAGGCTTGGGACACCCACATCCTCCCGGTGTCCACCTGTGGGAGTCTCAGAGGTTCCTGAAACACCGCGGGGCGGCTGTCACGGGTGTGTGCGGCTGTGTCCCGCCCCGGAACGGCACTGGGAGCGGCACCGGGAGCTGAAACACAAATTTTAAGGAATTTAGAGATTTTAGAGGAGCTAAGATTTTAGTTAGAGATAAGCCTTACTAGAGTTAATTGAAATAAATGAGTAGGCCTTGATGAAGTTAAGTTAGTAGTTAGCTAATAATTGATTGCTTGTCAGCACAATGTTGAGTTAGCTGGGTTTATAATGAAGACTATAGAAACTGACAAATCGCTTTTAGGAACATAAGACAATTGTGGGCCTCTTCTGTTCTGAAACCAAATGAAGAAAAGGAATGGGAATTCTACCAAGAGTTCGTTTGTCATATTTGCATTGGAAAGGTAGAAAGGTCAGAACGAGGAAGACTTCATTTACTTCCTCATTTTGGGACCCCTCCCAGTGAAAGGGACACCGACACATTTCAAGGAACAAACTACGCATGCTGAATGGCTTTTGGAATGATCAGCATACGAAGCGAGGAATGGGATGTACCAAAATCACGAATATTTTGGGTATTCAATATTGTACGGATAAAAGGACTCTTTTGGAGTGACCACCTGGAAGCTGCGGTGTGTATTTGGGAGCTATCCCACACACACTTTCTAACTTTAAGCTGTTAGAGGGTGTTTGTCTGTCAGGGTTGAATATCGGTACTAGATCAATATCCGGATTTTTTTAATAATTCGGAGCGACCCGGGAGAGGGGGCGTGGCCGGGGGCGTGGTCGGGGCGTGGCCTGTCAGTTGGCCCCGCCCCTCGCTGCGGGCGGGGCGGCCGCTCTCGCGCGCTCTCGCGATACCCGTTCGAACGGGAGGCGGGCGGGCTCCGGGAGCACCGGCTCCGCCATGTCGCAGCGGCCGCGGCTGCTCCGCACCTACTCGCGCCGCGACGGCAACCTGCGCCGGCTGCCGCGGCCCGAGCCATGGGTGTCCCCGCCGCAGGACCGCAAGCACCTCTTCAGCTCCAGCTCCGCCGCCTCCAGCGCCCTCTCCGCTTCCAGCGCCGACTCCAGCCTCTCGGATGACCCCGAGTACTTCCCGCCCGCCCTCCCGGTACCGGATCCCGGTAAGCGTACCGAATGGGCCCGGCGGCTGCGGAGCTGCCAGAAGGAGAACCGGGGAGCGGGCGGGCAGGAGAAGCGGAGAGCGGCGGGGAAGGAGAACCGGAAGCCGGAGAAGCGCGGGCGGGCACAGGAGAGCCGGGGCCGGGGAAAGGAGAACCGGGAACCGGCGGGGAAGAAGAGGAAGTGCGGTCCGAGCAAAGAGCCCCGCGGGCGCACAGAGGAGCCCCGGGGGTCGCTGTGTTGGCCCTCGCTGTCCCCATCCCCGCCGCGCCGGCGGCAGGGCCCGCTCTGCGTGTCGCGGCCGCCGCTGCTGTGCAGCACCCCGCAGTGGTCCCCGCCGCCCCGCCGCGCCCCGCCGCTCCTCGGCTCCACCGCCGACAGCGCCTCGGTGCCCGGGGACAGCCCCGCGCCCCGCCGCCGCCGCCCGCCCGTGCGCCTCAGCCGCCTCCTGCTCAACGTCAGCATCGAGGGCGGCTCGGGGCTCGGCGATCCCTGCCCGCCGCCTGCCGAGGAGGTGCTTGAGCGGTTCGGTCCACCGGGCTTGGCTCGGAGCTGTGAGCCCCAGCCCGGGCTGCGGGGGTCTCGCCGCGTTCTGAGGTCGGCGGTGCGGAGATCCCGCTTGGTCCGAGCTGCCCCGTCCCCGCTGGAAGCCCCAAGCGCTCAGGAAGCGCTGCCACGCGTGGAGAGTGAGCCACAGCCCCCTGCACCCTGTGACAGCATCACTCGTGAGGAGCCCTGTGAGGATCCATCTCATCTCACGAGACAGCCAGCCAAAAGAGGCTTGAGCTGTCACAGAAGCTTGGCCAAGGACTACCAGCTTGTGCCAGTGGTGGTGCTGGACCCTCTAGAAGTGCCAATGCTATTGAAAAGCCTGAAACTCAACAATCAGGCTGATGTTCAACCTGTCTGCCTGCAGCCAGGATCTCCCGTGGGCCGCCAAGGAATCTTGGAGAACAAATACAAAAGGACCAAGGGTGTCCCCGGCGAGGGCAGTGCCTGCAGGAGAGCTTGTATCAGTGGCTTCAGTGCCAGCCGCTGGGGCGGGCACAGCAGGCTTCGCCCAAGAAGGCCTAAGAAAAAGAGGCAGCAACAGCCCAATGACTCCCTTTTCAGGCTCCAGACAAGGCACAAACGAGCTCAGAAGGGAACTCTAGAGATGTCTGTAGGTGTCAGAGACAATGACTCTACGTTCCTTAATAACTCTTATTCTTGGGCTAGAGTTCGAGCATCTCTGTGCTTCCATAAAAAGAAGAAAGTGACCACAGATGAGACTTTCTGCAGCAGCATCCTCTGCACCCCTTCAGGGAAATCCCAGCTTTCAGGATCCCAAGGCATCCTGTCTGCTGGTAAAGCTCAGAGCTACTCCGGGTATTCTTCCTCCATGGTCCTGCTGGCTCCCAGGGATTCCTCCTCTGTCCTGGAGCTGCTCCTTACAGATGCTGAGAAGGTGTTTGGAGAATGCAACCAGGATGGGCCCATTGCTTTTGAGGAATGCATTCCTTTAAATAAGATGAAATGTTGCAAGAAAATTGGAGAAGGGGTGTTTGGAGAGGTGTTCCAGATTGACAGCAAGAGAGGACCTGTGGCCTTAAAGATAATTCCCATTGAGGGGACTGAAAAAATAAATGGTGAAGCTCAGAAGACCTTTGGAGAGATTCTACCGGAGGTAATAATTTCAAAAGAACTCAGTCTTCTGTCTGAGGGCTCTGTGAACAGAACTGTGGGGTTCATCAGCCTGTACTCTGTGCACTGTGTCCAAGGGGCCTATCCCAGGTATCTCCTGGATGCCTGGGACAAATTCCACAAAGAAACAGGCTCAGAAAACGATCGGCCAGACTTTTTTGGGGCCCAGCAGCTCTTTATGGTGCTGGAGTTTGAGTTTGGTGGCAGGGACCTGGAGAGCATGAAGTGCAGCTTCTCCTCGGTGACATCAGCCAGGAGCATTTTGCACCAGGTCACCGCGTCCCTGGCGGTGGCAGAGCAGGAGCTGCACTTCGAGCACAGGGACCTGCACTGGGGGAACGTGTTGGTCAAAAGCACAGACGTGAAAGAGCTTCAGTACGTGCTGGATGGAGAAACCCACTCTGTCCCCACTGCTGGCATCCACGTCAGCATCATCGACTACACGCTGTCCCGCCTGGAGAAGGACGGCCTCACCGTCTTCTGTGACCTCTCCACAGACCTGGAGCTCTTCCAGGGCACTGGGGACCTCCAGTTTGACATCTACAGGCTGATGAAAGAGGCAAACTCCAACAGCTGGACTGACTACCACCCACACAGCAACGTCCTCTGGCTGCACTACCTGGCTGATAAACTTTTGAAAGCCATGAAGTACAAGACGAAGGCATCAACTGCTAACCTGAAGAAAATCAAGATGCAGCTCAACAAGTTTCACAAGGAAGTGCTGACCTTTGAGTCTGCCCATGATGTTCTGCACCACAGCAGCCTCTTCCAGTGAGCAAGGCTCCAAGGACTGAGCTACTGGTGCTGCCTCTCTCCTCTGCTTTGTGTATGTGTTGGCACAATTAAGTGTTTTTATGGGGTACAAATATGTTCAATACATTCACATAAATTTTCTCACATTATATTCTGCTCTAAGATGTTTCCATACCTGCTGGTTTTGAGGGGTGCTAGAGGGGAGATAACAGAGCTGACTGTGGAGAAAGGATAGGGAAAGAGACTTCTTCAGGCTCAGTTAATCCTCTGAATTTCACATAAATTTTCTGTCTTATATGCTTATCTTACAAGCCAGGACATTATCCACCCCTTATTCTATTTCCATCTGCATCACAATGAAATCTTACACCCAGTTCTCACTTAAGACCAGGTCTCCCTGTGGTACACAACGAGTTTCCCCATCTTTCTGCATTACCCACCAAGTGTACCCAGGTCCTTGAGCAAAACCAATCCCACGGATGGGTTTGTCTTTGCATGAGGTGGGATTAATCTAAACATTTTTTCCTAAAATACCTTTCATATGTACCACAGGGACTTCATCTACTGTGTGCAAGGGTTCTGACTGGGCAGGACCAGCTCGATTGATGGACCCTCAGGTGTTGACCATCCAGGTTGCTTTTGCAAGGTTCATTTCCCAGTTTCTAAATGTTCCCCCACCAAGTGCCAAGGGTGGTCTTAAGGAGTCCGTTGCACCGTTCAACTTTGCCAGCAGCTGGAGCATGACAAGGAATATGATATATCCATTTGATACCATGTTCTCCTGCCCAGGTGTTGATAAGGCCGTTCTTGAAATGGGTGCTGTTGTCATACTCAATTCTCTCAGGTGTGCCATGTCTCCCCAGGACTTTCTTTTCCAGGCCCAGGATGGTGTTCTGTGCAGTGGAATGAGGCACAGGGTAGGTCTCCAGCCATCCAGGGGTGGCTTCCACCATGGTCAGCACGTAGTGCTTGCCATGGCATGTCTGGGGCAGTGTGATGTAGTCAATCTGCCAGGCCTCCCCATACTTTTACTTGGACCACAGCCCACCATACCACAGGGGCTTCACCTGCTTGGCTTTTTGATGGCAGCACAGGTCTCACAATCATGGATAACCTGAGAAATACTGTCCATGGTTAGATCCACCCCTCAGTCTTGTGCCCACTTGTAGGTGGCATCTCTGCCCTGATGACCTGAGGCATCATGAGCCCATCGAGCCAGGAACAACTTCCTCTTATGGTGCCAATCTAAGTCTATCTTTGACACCTCTATTCTTGCTCCCTGATCTACCTGCTCGTTGTTTTGGTGCTCCTCATTAGCCTGACTTTTGGGGACATGGGCATCTACATGACAGACTTTCACTGTTAGTTTCTCCACCCAAGAAGCAATGTCCTTCCATATATCAGCAGCCCAGATTGGTTTTCCTCTACTTTGCCAGTTGGCCTTTCTCCACCTTCCCAGCCAGCCCCACAGAGCATTGGCTACCATCCACAGATCGGTCTAAAGTAGAGCTTTGGCCACTTCTCCCTTTCAGCAATGTCCAGGGCCAGCTGAACAAGGGCTTGATCCACCTTCTCCTTCGGTAGCTTGTGCAACTTGTGTTGGGCTCCACACGGCTGCTTTCCACTTCTGGTTCATCCCTACGATGCGACAGGAACTGTCAGTGAAAAGAACATAGCGAGTTTCCTCTGCTGGCAGTTGGTTGTATGGTGGAGCTTCTTCAGCCCTTGTTGCTTGTACCTGCTCCTTGTCATCAGTGAGACCAAAGTTTTCACCTTCTGGCCAGTTGGTAATTATCTCCAAAATCCCAGGGTGATTCAGGTTTCCAATACAGGCACACTGAGTGATGAGGGCGTGATGAAGGTGGTGTACTGAGATGGCCCAAGATTTGCCAGACTCCACAGCATTTGCCCTGTCCATCCCTCCCAAAGAGTACCCCCAATACTGCCACTTCCCTCAGCTGTTGGATCCCTTCCTCAAGGGTCTTCCAGCACGTTCTATGCTGGTGCTCCTGCATTCTCTCCCTGTGGACAAACCTCTCTGACACTCATTAAAAGTCACTCCCAGAGGGAAAGGGACCCTGGCTCCATTACAAAAATCTGATTCATACCTGAGTCCTGGTCAAGGGTCCCAAGTTCCTTGTCTCACCACTGTGCACACCTGTACCCATAAGGTCCCAGACCAACCATGTAGTATAAGCCTCACGCCCTCATTGCACAATGTCTTTGTGCAGATTACGGAGACGTTTGTACGTCAGGGACTCTGTGATGATCGTGACCTCTGGGTTGTGAGGTTCCTCCATTCCTATCCCTATCTGGGTGCTCTGCTTTCATCTTAGACCTCCTTGTTTCTACCAGGGCAACTGCTGCTGGCTGTGGCTGCCTTTGTGGTTCAGCTGGAACCTGGATAGGTGTAACATCTGTGGGTTCCACAGCTGTACTATTAGACTGTCCCTCTCCAAGGCAAAGGGCAGGCTTCTCACCAGCTGGGGAAATGCACTCCTTCAGCATCTCTTGTATCTCCTTCACCAGAACCCTCACCCAGTCTGGGTGGTTCATTTCTGAGTTGGGCTGTGGGGCAGTGTCAGGTTCTGCAGCAGCATCTCCACTCTCAGGTGTAGGTGTCAGGGCAGTTATCCAGGTTAATCTTCCCTTATCTCTGAGTGCTAAATATAACAGGCATATCAACAACACCACCCATTGTATGATATCATTAGCACTTAGAGTGGATCTTAACCCTTCAAATACTGGTGGAGCAGACCCAAAAAGATGGTTAAAAGGCTGGGAAAAGATTTCCCCCGGTGTCATTTTCTCACAGTAGGTACCATTACTAAAGTAACCCCAAAAACATACAGTTAGTGTGTGATAGATCTGAATCCATCTACCTGCCTTCCAGAGGAAGTTAAAGATCCATGAATTCCTCACCTTATTAACCCATAAGCCAAACTGGATAATAGACACAGTAGCCTTAGTTATAAGGACCCATGTTTGGATAAGGGCCTGCACGTGGGAGAAATACAGCCACAACCATGTGCCACCCAAACCAGGGTAAACTAGACCACATGGTGACACTTAAAGATGTTTCTATATCAGCACACACATAAAAAATTAAATTACTTAAGAACTGTTAATCCTATTTTCCCTCTCAATGCCCTCGAGCCCTAAGTTGGGTGCCAAAATCTGTCTTGGTTTGAAAAGACAGGAGTCTGTGAAGGAAGGCAAAAGCCTCCTGTGAAATGGGAATGGTAAACCCCCTCCCTGCAAATTACCACAATTTCAAAATTAAAAGGCTCTCAGGCAAAAATATGGGAATGGGAATAACAGTTCTTTATTAGAAAAAAAAAAACTAAATTAAAAAAAAATGTAATTAGTACAAACAAAACTAGTGATAAAGTCAGAAACCTGACACCCTGAGGAGTCAGGGTGTTGGGAATAGTCCAGTTAAATGGTGGCTGCTCCTCCTGCAGTGGCAGATGAAATGCTGCTGGAGCAGTGATCTGTAGAAGGGTGGAGTTTGCTCTGAAGGTCTGGGGATGGAGTAGCTGGGCCTGGTCTTCCTCTGGGAATCCAGCAGAGAAAAAGCTGCTCCTCTGGAAATCCAGTGAAGGGCTGCTCTGGTGTCTCAAAAGGTGCTGATTTTATGCAGGTGGGGATGCTTGGCTCCTCCCTCTGGGTGGAGCATCTCACAATGGGTGATGGAACTTTACCAATCATATAGTGAGTCATTCAATGGCCATTAACAGAAAATACCTCCTTGGAGGGAGATATTGTTCTTGGAAGAGGTAAGAAAACTGCCCAACCTCCAAGAGATGGTAAATAGAATACATGTTTATTTTATAAGCCAGGATATTTTTTTACATTTTAGCCTTAGATTATTAAAAGTTCTTTTCTTACTGTTTTGTCTTTTTTACAGATTATTTTCTTAAAGGTAAAAACTCTCCAGTTCTGGACAATGAGGAGAAGGGTTAAATACTACTGGCTTGCTGGAGACAGAGAAGAAAACCCACCCTTTGATTTAATTTTGGCAAAATTTATACCTGGAATGAAGGTGTAAAATGTAAATATATGAAGTTTCTGTAAATGGTTTTAAACCCACTTATCTGCACTAATCTTTTTTTTCTTCCCCTCTCTTAAGGACCAAGGAAGAGATACCTGATTGTGTAAAAAATAAGACAGCATACCTGTATTCCTGGTTTTTAATGGTTATGATGTTGTGGTCTTGTACAGTGATAGGAACTCAGATCTGTAACCTGGTGGTAGCACTGAAGCAATTTCTTCCTTTATCTACAGAAGAAAATGCCCAAGGTAATAAATGTTCTTTAGCCCTGACTGCAGGTGGACCAGGTGCCCTAAACTGGAGGCTCTTACATGAAATCCAAATAAATCCCAATTCCCTGTTTTCAAGAAGCCCTTTGCTAAGATTTCTGTTTATTAAAGAAACTGGGCTAAAGAGAATAATAAGTCAAACTAAAGTGAAAAGTGAATTATATTTTGATCCAATGACACAGATGCATTAAGAAATTAAGAGGCAGTGTCACCAAATTCATTATAACTGCAATGCTCTCCATGCAGACCAATGAATAAATGTTGAATATGTGCATCTCAAATGACCCTCTCTTGAAGTCTCCTTTTTACAAACCCAACAAGGAGACCCTGGGGTGGTTTTATTGTTCTACCTTCCAGATACTGCAGAAAGTGACCTGACAATCTGCAGTGCTACAAATTATTAAGATGGAAATTGTGCTGGAATGTTCCCAGGCATCCTCTCAACCTTTTTTTTTCCCTCTTCTAATTGAATAAAGTCATGCTCTGTAATTGAATGGCCTTCAAACCCACTTGGTAAGGCCTGCAGTGAATTCTTATGTGACATCAAGGAGTGTTCCTCAGTCATAATGGTGCTAATTTCATTTATGCTTTAAAAGAGGAGAAAAAAAAGGATGTATGAAAGCACATTATTTTTTTGCCTGCCTTGGTGCTTTGTTTCTGATTTGAGAACTGATTTTGGCTGTGCAAGAGGGATGGGGCTTTGGCAGGAATGAATGCCAGGAGAGGTGAGAGCCCCCAGGGGGACCTGGTGCAGGAATCTTGGAGATTCTGAAAGCTGAAACCTCAGAATGCTTCCCTGCAAACCAGTTTGCTGATTTGTGAACATGTAGTAATTTTCATTAATCAAAATGTAAAGCTTCTACCTTCCCCCAAAACTGGACATTAAATTAATATGGAAACCTTTGCTTTAAACTGTGCTTGCAAGGAAGTGCAGCTGCCAGAGCTGAGCCCTCATTTCCTTTTTTAAAGATGCTCTCTGATTAAAAAAAACACAGAAAAAAATATCATGTACTAATCAGCCCTCATAAATTTTAATGGGAGGATGGTGACAAAAAAGGAATTGGAATAGTAAATTTCCCCTAATCAAGTTAAATGCCCTGAATGTGTTTTCATCTGAGTGAAAGCTTTACTTGGAACAGAGCTGGATTATATATTTTAAAGATCTCTTAGCTCTCTCTGCTAAGGAAAGAGAATTCCAGAACCCAGTTTGCCCCTTCAGAAAACATGAGTTTTTTAATACACACCACACTGAAATTGGAGCCTGAAAGGATGGTCCATCTTTTATTGAAATAAGGAAGTTTGAGCAAAGCTAAAATTATCCTAAGGGAGTGAAAGATTTTTCACATAGATCCAAAGGCTTTAGGAGAGTGAAAAGAAGAAGCCTAGTTTTGTGTAACTGATAAATCAGAAGGATTCCAAGTAGGGATTCTGGCATTTCCAGGTCAAAGTGGATTTTGTGGAGAAGCCAGCAACCCTCACTTGGAATATGTTTTCATCCAAGTGCCAAATCTCTGAAAATTTTGCCTATTTTGATGGAGAAGACAGATAAAATATGGATTACCCTGTGAATATTCTGTAGCTCACCAGGGTGCTGTTAAAACATATTTTTTGCTAATTCCCTTCTGAAAAAATGAGACATGAAGTGCAGGAATATGAAAATGATCTCTTGCCTTGAGAAGCTGAATGAGAAGGAAGAGCAGCTCTGGCCTCAGTGCTGAGAGAATGAAGAGCAGCTGCTCAGAATATCATTCAGAGGCAGGAAAAAAAGGGAAAATAGTAATTTCTGCTCAATTCTGCAGTTCCAGGCTGCAGCAGTTAATGGTGCTGCTGGTGCCCAGCAGGAGAGGAGGCTGCCAAGGGAGAAGGAATTCTCCTTAGAGCTGAATAAAAACACTGGGACTGCTCCCATAAAACAAATTAGGTACAAATAGCCCAATAAAAGCTTAGGATTCTTGAATCAGATAAATCCAGTATTTAGGCTCTCCTCCTAACAAGTGAAATGCTCCTTCCCTTCCCTGGAGCTCCTTGCAAGGTTTGTTTAGGTAGTAAATCACTCGGTGGCTGATCTGGGTTTCCTCTCTGAGAGCTCTGGGGCTGTTCTACAACCTCACCCTGACTGAAATGCTCTGACTGGCACCTTCCTAAAACGCAGATTTTTGGGGTGGTTTGGGAGCAGAGTTGTCCCACAGAGTCATGTCCACTGTCAGTGGCACTTCAGGGTGGCCCCCACTGATTATTTCCTGGGAGCAGACAGAAAAAGGGTTTTATTTAATGAGAGGCCTGGAGCATCCTGGTTCTTGGAATTTGGGGGAATTACTCCCTCCAAATGCTTTCACAGACAGCACAATGCAACAGCCCAATTAATTATTCAATATTCTTTCGGGTCTGTAGGAAAATGGTTCCTTTTCAATCTCAAAGGAGATTTTATCATTCAGGGGTGACTTTAAGCACTGTTCCACTTATTCAGCTCCTCTGCAATCTGCAGGGTGGATTTTCACCATGAACTGATGCCTTCTGTTAAATGCAAACTGAGCAGCTCTTTGCTGTTCATCTGTTCCTACTTAGATGCCAGAATTTGGATTTTTAGAATGATTATTGTTTAAACCTCTGTCTATGCTCTGGGATCTCCTGGGACAGCCCCAGAGATGTTAATGAGGGACGAATTGCAGGGAAAGTCAAAAAACACCACTGAGGGTTTGAAGAGAACGCCTTTTGCACAAAAAGGATGTTTTGTATAAACTCTAAATGCAAAATCTGGAGGGTACAACTCCTGTGACTCACTGATTGTGATTGTCAAAGGCACACAAGCAGTGCAGATGGGCTGAGAACAAGCACAGACCAGGTCACATTAAACCAGCCTCATTTTCCTAAGGTAGCAGGTTCAGAATATCTTTACATGTACAAGAAATTCCCAACACGTCAATGGAGAATTAAAACTAAAAGACCCTCTAGTGATGAGTTCAGTTCCTAGGAAAAGGTTTATAAGCAACAACATAAAAAAGATCTTCACTGTGGACAAGATCTTGGTAAAGAAACTCCAGTTCTTTACCCCTGGATTGCCACAGGATGGTAATATTATTTTTTCCCCAGTGATGAGAAGTTTTTCTTTATTAAATATTCAAGCTGAGGGGCACAGCTTTGCAGAGATGAGATTTATTCCTTTTTCTACTCACCAGTAAATATCTCCTGTCTGTGGCTGATGTTAACAATTAGATGTTGTGTACAGAGGTACTCAGCAATGCTGACCAACACTCCAGAATCTCATGAATTATTCTTAGGAAATGAATGTACAACAACATCAGAATTCCTGAGGGCACTGCAGCCACAGTCATTAGTGTTCATTACTGCTCAGGGCTGAGTGTTGTCCCCACTTCTGTGTCCTCTGCTTTATGAACACCTAATTAAATATTTAATTGTGGTAAGGACTCCTAATTGCTACTAAAGCAGCAGCACATCCCAACTTGACCAGAATTCCCAGTTTTTACCTTGCCAAGGCACTGTAATGCTCAGATTGTATCAAAACACAATTTTGCTGTTTTGGAAAATGAAGATTCTCTCAGGGTTGAATCTCATGCTTGTGAGACAGGGGACAGCTGGTCTTGAGTTAGTCAGTGAAGAGCAGATCAAGAATATAATCAAATGTAAACTTGGAGCTGAAATATTACAGGAAAAACGTTTTAAGGAAGCCTGGCAGCAAGAGCAAGAACTGCTCAGTGTTTCCATGCTGTGTCACCTGCAGCAGGCTGGACTATTTACAGAAGTTCCAGTTTCTGCTGGGAATGTTCAGAACACACAAAATCCCAAGAGTCTGAAGGAGCAGCCAGCCAAAATACACCAGTATGGGCAGAGCTTTGGGGTTAAACGTGGTATTTATGTTTCCATTAGATAAACACATTATCTAGCAGTTCCAATTCTTTATCTAGAGTTTGTTTTCAAATCCAAAATGCAAAGAGAGAATCAAATCCATCTGTCCTGCCTCTGTCTTTGTGAACTCCACAGGTCATTCAGCTGACAGGGGGCTGATTGAAAATGAGGGACAGTATGTAAATAAATTAAATTTTGTATAAATAAGCTAAATTATCAGTGCTGAACTGCAGACATCAAGGCCTTCTCAGACCTTCATCTGTGTTAATTCATGTTCACTATCTCGTGCTTGTCCAAATCTTTAGACATACAAGGCAAAACCCTTTGTAACTTGGACTGAAGGGTTTATATTTTAGATAATTTCTATCACTGGGAAAGATTTTTTTTATGTCCCTCTGATGCTGAATTAAAAATAGAATAATGAGACATTACATGGAACACAGATTCTATATTTGTCTTTCAAGCATTTCCCCAGCACACTAAAAAACAACATTTATTACCTACCAGAGCACAATCCCGTCCTGCAGAGATCCTGCAACGTCCTGGACACCACCAGGGAAAGCAAAGATTGTCCCAAGGAGAGGTCACCTGCACCTTGACGTGGCTTTTCAGGGTGAATGAACCAGCCTAGAAAAAATCAGAGAGGGATTTATAGCAAATGTAGCGCTCTTGCATTTAAAAAATATAAAATAAATCTAACTGCACGGTCTTTCCTTAAATCAGCAGGACCTGAGGGGGTTCCCAGCCTGCTCCAGAGCAGGATCCATCCCTGTGCTCACCCTGTGACAGGACAAAGCCACGAGAGGGTGCCCTGATGTGCCCAGCCGGCTGCTTTCTGCTCCCAAGCACCCTGAGCAAATTCCAGCAGAGCACCAAAGGGTTTCCTCTGGGCTGTCCAAAATGACACAATTCACTTTTATCCTGGTTATTGTCACAGATCCTGTAGGATCTCCTGTTTTCTGTGTGGCCCCAGAAGCAAAGGGGACACGCAGAAAACTCCCCAGGCACATTTGTGTTGCACAGAAGCACCAAGTGCTGCACCAACAAATCCCTGCACACAGGTAAAAACCAGGATTTTACCACTCTGGGACAAAAGGGACAGAATAACTTTATTTCTTTCCTATTTTCTATGGCCAAGCCAGGAGCTCTGGCTGCAGCCTGCAGTCCTCTACCATACAGGGAGAGCACATCCAGCAGGGAGCACCAAGCAGGAATGTTTTATTTGTCACTGCTTAGGCATGGTTGGAAAATCCCCAGCACGGAGTGTTTACGCTGCCAGTGTTTTCACCTCTGTCTCCAGGCAATGGACGTAAACCCTCCCCTCTTCCCTCCACCAGCATCAAACAGCCCCAGCCAGCAGAGCATCTGTCAGCCCATCAGGCTGCACACCCCAGATCCCAAATAAAACCCAACCTGTGCTCCACAAGGAGACAAGCAGCCCTTTCCCTGGAATTCTCTATATATAGCTTTGGAGAATTAGTGTCCTTTGCAGCAGTAAGGGCAATTTTTAGAACAAAACATCACATATCTACTTATATGTGGATCGTTTCCTATTATTTATTTTATTCCAGCCATCCTCAGGGACGGATCCTGTAACCAGTTTAGCAGCAGAAAGTCATTATTCACCAATCTGACAGCAGAAAAGGAGCAGCACAGCTGGCAGACTCCCTCCCTGGGACCCGTGAGAGTGGAACAGAAGTTCAGCACAGCCCAGTTAGCTGAATTTTTTCCCACTCTTTTTCCAGATTCCATGATTCCTTCCAGTGTAGTTCTGCAGAGGTAAAGCACTGTAAGCTTGGGATGAACAAAAGGAAATGGCCCTGGCACTCTGCAGATTCATTCTTGTCCTAATGGATGAAGGTTTTCATCCAGAGGATTCCAAAATAGCAGATTTTTTTTTTTTTTCTGCAATGATGGAGTCCCTGACTTTAGTGTTGGAGATGTGAACAGCAACAAAACCAACGCTGTCAGCTGGGGATGGCTCTTCTGCCCAGTGAAATAGAGACATGGTTCTCTTTGCCCAGAAAATCTAAATTTTCCAAGGATTCTTAGAAAATAATGCAACAAACCCCATGGGCACTTTCCAGCTACCTCCAACTCTCCTCTGTGCGTGTTTAACATTTGACAACCATTCTCACAGACCACAAATGCTGTAACACTCCACACGCCACAAATCTCAGCTGGAAAGAAAACCAAAAAATATTATGGCAAAAGAGGAAGCAAGAAAAACCCCTTTGCAATCAGATTTAGTATCAGTTCTGTTCCACCCCCAAGGCAGCCACAGCCACATTTTCTGAGCCTTTGCCTGCTCCTGTCTGGCCCAAGTTTGGGGGTATTTTGTGCTGCAGAAAACAGATGTGAGACTGCAAAATCCAAGTTTTCTTTTAATTTTTTTCTGCCCACCCATTTTAATTTTTTTTTTTTTAGTCCCAGAGCAAGAAATGAAATTTCTTGAGTACATCAAAGCCTCAAAAGTGAGAGGCAGCCCCAGGAAGAGTCCAGCTGCAAACTCCACCAGCTGCAGCCCTTCAGCCCCAGCCCTGGGCAGCTCCTGGGACTTACAGAGAGCATCTGCTCTTTGTCGGGGCCCTGGGGCTGTCACATTTCAAAGGCTCCCTCTGCGAGCTCCAGAGGCAATGGAAAATATGTTTAGTTGCAAGTGGGGTCACAGGGAGATGGAGAGAGAGGAATCAGCTCATGGATACAGCTCCCTGTGCTGGCTCCAGCTTCAGAGCAGCCTTTGGAAAAACAAGGAGGGAAAACTCCCCAAAATGTGCAGCTGAAGAACAAGGAAGGTTTGATTCCACCTCTGCCCCTGAGGAAAATAGGGAATTGGGGAGCACACAGAGCAGAGATGGAGTTTTTTTTAGGAAAATTGCAGAGAGGTGAAGTGGGGAGTGCTCAGAGCCTTCTACAGGGGGCACAGGGAGCAAGGAGCTGGCAAAGTGTGCTGGGGTAAAGGAGGGGTTGGATGCTCAAGGTTCATCTCTCATCTGCCAGGAGCCAAAGAACTCTGACCAAAGCACATCCAGAGGGTTTGAGCAGCCCTAGAGCTGCACTGGGAGCTGCTGGTGCCTTTCCATGGTAGGGCTGGGTCCCCAGAGTCTGTGCTTCAGGCAGAGGAAGGAAACTGCAGCTGTGCCTCCACTGCCATTTGGGAGAGGTTTTTTTTTGTTTAGAGCCCTGCAAAACCTCCCCCTGTGCACAGGAAAGGTTCTCAGTGGGGTTTACCTGTCAGGGGGAGAAGGGAGAGGACAGCTCACCTGCTGAGAAGTTCTTGTGTAAATGACTGAAGGGTTTCCTGACAAAACATTATCACCTGTTAAGAGTGGTCCCCAAAAGTCTCTGGGGCCTCTTAACCATCATCCTTCATCCATGAGACTGCTGGGCTGGGGTGTGAGTGGGAAGCTCTGGGGATGCCAAAGCCCTTCCTCACAGCAGAACATTATTTGAGGCAGATCAAAAGCACTGCCAAGCTTAAAAAGAGAAGCAGGTTCAAGGAAGGGCTGAAGAGGAAGGTGATGCTGAAAGCTCTCAGTGCCCACAGCTTCCCCAAACTACCAGCAAGGTTATTTATTGAAACTCCAGACAGGGATGGCAGAGCTGATCCTGCATTTCTTTACAATCACCAAGTGTCCCTGCCACAGCAAAGCACCAAGCACAGCAACAGATTTATCATGGGCCAGATGAGCCCTCCATGCACTCTGAGCACCTTGCCAGATCTTGGGAACACTTAGGACAAAGCCATAGATGGAAAAAGCAGCTGAAGGCTTCACAAAGCAAGAAAACAACAGAAGGTGGAGCAGGAAAATCAGCTCCCACTCAGAGTCCCAGAGCAGTGAGGCTGGAGGGGGAATTGCCCAGCATGGGGAGAAGAACCCATTGAAGTGCAGCAAAGAAGTTTTAAAACAAAATTTTTGCTGCCTATCACATGCATGCAGTGAGGATAAGATGATGGCCTCCAAAAGGAAAACCACCAAGGCTCACTCTCTGAGAGTGGAATTGAGACAGATCTCGGGTTGCATGGTTTATCTCACTCAAGGGAAAGTGCTGCCAGCCCCTGTGAGATGTCTGCAGCTTTCCTGGGATTCTCACCAGCCTTCGCCTGGCCTGGAAGGTGCAGCCAGGGCAGCACCAAAAGATACTTTACCTGCATAAACTGACATGAGGCCATGGAAAACAAGAGTTAACTCCCACAGCAGTAATCAGGAATCTGATAGGAACTGACAGTCCACACTGATAACACCTTCTCTCCCTTGCTGAGAAAGGCAAAAGCTCTAAGAGTGCATCCCAAACTGAACATTTTCAATTAAGTACACTTGTTGTATTGTTTACAGAAATTTTACATGTTACTACTGTGAAAAATGCATATTTATGATTGGCTTTTCACAAATGTTACAATGAATATTGTATGTGCAATGTTAGAAAGTTATGCTGTATTAATTCTCTTACGTACTGTGTTAAGTGTAGTTTTAGGTTACAACATAATGTTAAAATAGAGACTATGTATGTGGGGGAAGTTTTTTTTTTTTTAGGGATGAGATACTCAGCTTTGAGGAACACCTCAATCTTCCAAAGGAGAGGAATTTATGGCTTCTTATCAGAAGAAGCTAATTTCTTCAGGTCTTGCTCAGACTCAAAGACACCAGGGAATTAAAGGAAATAGTTGACATACAACAGAGTTTCTTGTTTTAAATAGAATGTATGCATCATCATGAAGGATATATGAATATGCAACAAATGTATTGGTTTAAGGGTGATTCCTTTGTTCACAAGTTATGCTTTTTGTGTCTTAGTGTCCGAGAGCATCCAAATGTCCGTAATTCTTTACTTTTTTATTGTCTTGTAATTGTCCTAACTCTAAACTTTATTACTCTAATTGTATTCTTTTTATAACCATTTTATTATTATTAAACTTTTAAAATTTTAAAAACCAAGTGACTGGCGTTTTTCCCATCACTGTTAAATAGAGTGAAAAGTGAGACAGTTCATTTTTATCTCTTTCCCCACAGAGTTTACAGCAGCTGCCCCTCCTGCCTGAAGCAGAGTACAAGTCACAAAAAGTAACGAGCTCCTTGCAGACATTTGCAGCAAGGCAGGATGCCCATGACAAGTAACAGGAAGCAAAAACCACACAAAAAGTGTCAGCCCATCAGTCTCTCAGGGGCCACAAGCAGGATTCTGCTGCTGTTTATTACAGAGACAAAGCAACCCGTGAAAAACAGAAGTCTCAGAAATCCACCAGCAAAGTTTCAGGTCCAAGAAATCCACATCACCTCCTGTGCTTTTAGTGCAAAGAATTTCGTTCTGGAGGTGTGAAATGGGGATCCTGATGTGGATTAACCACAGAGCCCTGCCACAGGGTGAGGGTTTGTCCACTCACATCTCACACCAGCACAGAAGACAACTCCACCCTCAGCAACTTTTAGGACTCTACAACACTCTTGATTCCAAAGCACTTCAGTGCAGTCCCTTGTGACAACAGAAGAGGCTGGGCCATCCTCAGGCAGGTCATTCCATGAGCATTATCCATGAGCATTATTATCCCTGCACAGCTCAGAGAGCTCTGCCTTCCCCACTGCCCCAGGAGCTCACTCCCACCACTGCATCTTTAGGCATAGTAATAAGAAAATGTCAGGCAGAGAAAAGTCGAGTAAAAACAGTTTCTTCAGAGGAAATGAATCATTAAAGTGCGTGACAACACTGAAAGCCACGGGCTGAACCACAGTCCTCCACGAAATGCACTTTTCTGCTGACAATGCTTTCAGTTCTCCCAGCTGCTGGGGGAAGAACAACTCCTCTGAAGGTGGAGGCAGCTCAGAAAAGCTGTCAAAGCTCTCTGGGCTGTCCCTGCAGAGGCACCATCTCTGTGCCTGGTGGCTGGGGCTGCAGCAGGGCCAGCTCCTCTGGGGCAGCTGCTCGGGGTGGTTTCTGTGCTGGCCGTCTCCAGGAGCTGGTCTCTGCAGCAGGACACAGGAGCAGCCCCTCGTCAGCAGGAAGCTGACAAAGGGACCCAGCTTTAGAAGGGTGAAGGCTCAGGGAACACCCAGCACCCACCACAGAACGTTTTAAGCACTGCAACCTCCCCAAGTCCTGGAAAACTGGCACCCAGGAGGAATCTACACTAGAGGTTGTGTCCAAATCCACTGCAGCTCCTGCCCAGGCTCTGCCAGGCTGAACAAGATCTTTCTAACAGGGTAACAGCTCTGATTTCCACAGAGTTCCTTCCCAGCTCTACCAAGGAAAGCAAATAAAGATCTCAGGCAGAATCTGACAGCATTGCCAGAGTTAATGCCCAAATTCAGGCTCTAAAAGCCCTGTGATTTTAACACCTGCAGGATCAATGAGCCTAAATTTTACCCTTCCTAGGAAAAGCATCACATATTTGGGCTACTGAGTCAAAAATAAGATCAGCCCTCCTTTTTCTCAGCAGCATTTCCTGCCCATTTCTCCTGCAGCTGAATAGGAATGGCATCTCCTTCATCCTCAGTTGGTTCCCAAACTCTGGCCAGCTCCAGACCTATAAAACTTTATTTTCTCAGCTCACAAGTGATGCTGCTGTGGGGAAGCAATTTTAAGTTGGCCTGCCTGGAATGCCAAAGACATAACAACGTGCCAAGAGCAGTTTGCTGAGCAGGAAGCTAAAAGGATAGTGCAGACCTTTCTTCATTATTTAATTTACCTTCTGGATTTATTTCTGAATCAGTGGTCCCAGGTTCTTCCTTCAGAACTCCCACATCCTTTGCCCAATCTGCCCATTTAATTTCCTCTACTCTGGAGAGACAAAATGCAACAAGACACTGATGCCTGGAATGCAGCATCTCAAGCCAGATCTCACTGTTCTGCAACCTCCCAGCCCAGCTCATCCTGCCAACACCACCCTGATGGTTTGGCTGTAGCAGCAGCACCCTGCAGAGCTTTTTTTTTGAGCAAAGATCTTCTTTAATCAAAGCTCCGTGAGGTAAAAATATCTTCTCCCCCTGCATATTGTCCACTGGTCTGTTTGGTTTCAAATTCTCCAGCTCAGGGAATGTTCTTAATACAAAGGTGGCAATGCTGGAGGATCAATTAATTCTCAAACCTCCAGCCTGACAATCACCAACAAATTTGGACGTAGCCAGGAGTGTGTGGTTGAGCCAGTGCTGAATTTCCCTGTGGTGCTCCAGGGTTCCCAGGCTGTGACCCCACTGGGGGCTGGAGTGTGAGGGGGGAATGGTGCCTCTGTCTTACCTGAAACACCACCTCTCATCTTTCTTATTGAGCCCCACTGACATGAAGCAGCCAGATCTCCTCTTCCCACCCTGGCGCCACAGCCAGGCCTTCTCTATTTCTAGAATAGCAATTGCCCTCTGAAAGAACAAAACCCACGTCAAGAGAGAAACCAGGGCACAGACAGATCCCAGCCCAGCCTTTCCATTGAATCTTCCCCACTCAGAAACTCCTTGCACTTGGAGAGTCCCCAAAATGCTCCTGAAACAGCCTCAGGTCACCCGTGCACGTGGATCGTGCAGAGAGCTGTAAATACACCTAAAATGCACCTAAAATTCAGGTGCAAATACACCTAAAAATGCACTCTCAGGGTGACAGCTTTATATAAAAGGAACATCTGACTCTGAGACCCCAGCAGGGCTTTGGGCCTCACCTGCAGCTTCCAGACGCTCTTGCTGTAGCCAGAAATATCCGTGACAGTCTCGCTCATGAGGGCGATCAGCATGTTCAGCAGCAGGATGTAGGTGAGGATCACAAACAGCAGCAGCAGCAGCGTGACAAAGTACCTGAACCTGGTGTGCTCCTGGAAATCCAGGTCCCCCATGCCGATGGTGATCTTGAAGAGCTCCAGGGAGACGCTGAGCAGCCCCCCGTACATGGCGTGGCTGCCCGAGCTCTCCAGGTGAGCCAGGGACTTGTTCTGAGACACCGAGGGGGCATCGCCCATCAGCGTCACCAGAGCTGGCAGAAAAACACAATCTGAGTCCTCAGGACATGCTTTGTGCAGCTCAGCCCACGCAGAACCCAGAGAGGGCTCACCTGCAGCAAAGCCGAAGAGGAAGATCATGTAAACCAGGAGGAAACGCAGCAGGTCTCTCATGATGGTCTGAAACACAAACCAGGGGAAGTGCTGTCCTTTATCTCACGTGAAATCACCAGGTGACCTCACACATCACAAACCAGCCCTCAGGAACACTGACAGCAAGGTTTCCACCTTCTATCCACTTAAAAAAAACTGCTAATATGTGTTAATTACTTCCACAGGTAAATAATATCATTAGCAGCCTAATCTGACAGTGCTATGGACTTCTCTGTTGCTCTGCTAGTATGAGTAGCTCTTTGAAACAAATAAATATCCTGCTGGCTCCTCACTATGGCTGTTTCCAAATTGTTTCACCACACACCCCCCTCTCCTTTCCACAAACGGTGACCAGAATTCTCCCCTGGCACCTCATTTCACCCCTGCTTTGTCTCTCCAGTCCCAGGTCCCTCTGTAGCTCTGGAAACACTTCTCAGGCTGAGCTGAGCAGCTGGAGGGAGCCCACACTGGTTCCAGAGCTGTTTGGAGCTGCTTTATTGGCACTCAGGTGTCAGCTGGGATGCTCAGCGGTGCCAAAGGAGTGATTGTTGCAGCTGTAGATTAAGACACTGACCAAACCTCTTCCTGCAGCACCTGTACTTCCACAGGACATCAATCCCAGCTCCTGACAGCCCAAAGCCTTTCCCTGCAGGGGTTTTTCCCCAGCTCTGACCTTCTGGATCATGACGCTGTAGATGCCGGTGCGCTGGAAGCCGCGGGTGTAGTAGAGGGTGTTCACCCAGCCCAGCAGCAGGGAGAACACCATCACTGCCACGTAGTTCTCCGAGCTGGCTCCGTACAGGACTGCTGAGAGCAGCAGGGAGAACGCCTGGATGAAGCTGGAGAGCAAACAAAAGGAAGTGGCAGCCACTCACCTCAGCAAAAAGGGCCCCTGCAGGACTGCTCTGCAATCAAAACATTTGGGGAGGCTGAGGGGAGCCCAGCCAGCAAAGCCCACTGCAGCAAAAAAAGGCTCAGGACAAGAAGCAGCAGCAGGGGTGGGAAGAGAGGGGCAGAGGATCTGTTTTTCCTGCTCTCCAGCTCTGTGGCAATGCTGGGGGCACTCAGCTGCACAAAGAACCAGCTCCCAGCTGTGGCTGTGCCAGAGCCCCAGGACCTACATCAGGATCTCGATGCAGCTGTCAGAGCACATGGTCTTCAGGGACTGGCGCCTCCTCCGCAGGTACAGGCTCTGGGGAGCAAAATCAATTCACCATTCATCAGAGCCAGGCCATGTGAGAGGCAGCCCTGCCCTGCCCTGCCCCAGGCAAAGCTTTGCTCCATCTGCTCCTCCTTTCATCTCCAAGATCCCCAACTTCATCCCTCCCAGATGAAAAAAGCCCTTATTTATAAAGGGCAAGGATAAACAAGGGCTGAATCATGGCTCAGCCCAATGTCTTTATTAATAGCCTGCATTAAATGCCAGGGATGCATTTTAATGCCATAAATCACAGAAGTCTCCCAGAATTATTTGCTGTTGTGGAACTGTGATCCTCCTTGCCCAGCAACCTGGCTTGTGCTGGGCCTGCCACTGCCAGGGAGTGTCTCAGAGCAGGATTCCCTCCTGCTCATCCTGATGTCAGGAGAACAGATCCTGCTGCTCCATGCCACTGATTGTTCCCTTTTTTCCCATGTCTTACCATGAAAGCAGACAAGAGATCCCCCTACCTGAGCAAAGATCAGATAAATGCCTCCTAACAAGATAATGATCAGTCCAGAGACCCAGAGGAAGCCTCCAGCTGTGAATTCCACCGGGAAGGAAGGCTGCAAGACAAAACCAAAGCCACCAAAAGCAGTGGAGATGGGCAGAGGCAGTGATGACAACTTTTAAACCCTGCTCCATCCATCCAGGCAAAACCACTGGACCTACCTTTACCCTTAAGGGCTGATAGTATGCAATGGCTGTGAAGATGATCATGAATGACAGGTAGGAGACAAAGCTGAAGTAGAATCTCTTGGAAGCAAACGTTTCCCATTTTTGCTGAAGCAGTTTGTTCAGTGGCTCCAAAACCACCATTTTGTAGCGGTTCTGTGGGGAAACAAGCAACCAAAATGCCAACAGGAATGGGAATTCACCAGAGGATGGTCTTTTTAAGGGCTGGAGCTACATGGATTCAACTGGGGAGTCGTTATGGGGTTATTCAGTCAGGTCTTTTAGTGTGAAAGATAACAAATATTGCATAGAAGTCACTTCATCGAGGTATTTGAGCAAACCGAGGCTTAAGACAACAAAGGATCAAAATTTCTCACAAATTCTGAATGGTCAGAGCCATGCCAAGCAGCCTCCAAATAACAAAATCTGCAAACATTCCCACGAATCACTCCTTTTTTTCAGAGAAACCATCACCTGGAAGCCCACACTAACTTGAAGTGCAACACTCACACAGCAACACTGTAAAAAGAGGAGAGAAAAAGCCTGTCTTTGAGCTGTGCTGAGAGCCTCACCGGGGTGTCACTGCTGTAGGCCAGGATCTCCAGCACAGAGTTCTCCTCGAAGCTGTCCAGGGAGGACAGGTCGTAGAGGGACACGTGGATGGGGCCGTAGGTCCACTCGGTGAACTTGCGGGACAGGTGCCGGTACAGGGGGTCCTTGATCTCCCTCTGGATGATGTGCCTGAAGATCTGACACAAACAGGGCCATGTTTGTGCATGTGCTGCAGGTGCAGAAGGACACCCAGAGCAGCACACAGCTGGATTTGTGCCTCATCCAGCGCCTGGATCTGGCTAAAAGCAGGGAAACGACCACAACGATCTGGCTCCCCCAGTGTGGGAATCCAGGGCTTCCCTCTGGCTGCCCTGGAAGGTCTGGGACCCTGGCAGGGGTCAGGAACCCCCCTGGACAGAGCCTCCAGAGACACTGGCTGTGATCTCTGTCCATGGAAAAGAGTTTTCAATCTTACAGGATCAATTACAAGCTCTGAGTGTTTGATATGAGTAATAATTAAGTGTGACACGGGCGCAAAAGTAAAATTTTAGGATTCTAGATTAGGGGTCCAAAGGGGACAAGATGGAGGAAATTGGGTGTGTCTTGTCCTTTTTCTCCTTCTTCATGCCCTCCATGTTTCACTGTGGTGTTGGCATTTTTCTGTTGGTTCAGGCTGGGGACACACTGTCCAACGTAGGTGACAGATATTGGCACGTTATTGTAAATCCAGCACAGGCAGTTTGTGGTATTTAATGTTTGTAACATCCCACTGAGGGCAGAGCCCCACACGCTGCCCTGCAGGACAGAGCTGCGGCAGGGCAGCAGAACATGTTAGAGATAAACAGAATAAACAACCTTGAAACCAGCACAGACCAATTATGGCTTCTTCTTTGGCAACGGGGCAGAAAGACAGAGACTTTCTACAATCTCAGAATCATCAATACCCACAGATTCCGACACCCCAGGAGTGGGACCAGCCTCAGCCCAGGGAGCAGGACAGGGCAGGGACAGCAGCCAGCTGAGGCTCTGCAGGACACAGCTGGGTGGCTGGGAGGTGCCCTGCTTTGTGGCACTGCCCCTGCCAGCAGCATCAGCACAGGTGGGTGCAAGAAGCTCCAACCCCAAACCCCACAGGACACCAACCAAGGGTGCCAATGACACCATCCCTCCTCCTCAGCACCCCCAGGGCTCCCCTCTGGCTGTCCCTACCTCCACCTTGCCTGTCTTGGCAGCAAGCTGCAGGGGATTTAAGCCATCATAATTGACAATCTCCTCCAGTTTGCACGTGGGGTCGAGCTTCACGCCCGCCTTCAGGATCTCCACGTAGGTGGTGCTCACAAACTTGGTGTTCTCCTCGGTGTCATCTGCAATCATCACCAGGGCGTGCAGGACGGTGTTGCCCTGGGTGTCCTGCTCCTGCAGCCTGGCTTTCTGGTGGGGGTTGTTCAAAAGATAATCCACCACATCCAGCTGGTTGGTGCAGGCAGCCAAGGAGAGGGGAAGTTCACCTGAGGAGATCAGGACACAGCATTTGGAGGGGAAGCAGAAAGGGGTGAAAGAGGATTAAAGAAAGGGGGGAAAAGCAATCCTTGAAAAATATGTTTAGCCCAGAGTTTTATCCCTGAAGCACAGAACATGTTCTGCCTCAGTGTATATGGATTGTGGAAGGGGTTTACAATAAACAATTACTGTTTCTGGGCAGCTGAAACACCTTCCCACATCTCAAACTGATCTCTCAGACCTGAACTAGCCAAGTATTGGTCTTTGTCTGAAGCCACTCAGGATTAAACACATAAACCCAAAGATGATGGAAATGCACAGTGAACACCCCACATATGAAAGGATTCTGCCATTTAAATAAGTCAAGGACTTGATTAAAGGGCACTGAAAGTGGCAACAGAGGGGCAAACCCATCTAGAAGTAGTGGTATCACATACAGCATGGCAATAAAAACCCAAAGGAACATGTTCCACAGTGACTCACCAAAATAAAAGTAAACTCCTTCTTTCTTCTTCCTGAAGAATTCCCCATGGGCTCTGGCGTGGACATCAGCTCCGTGCTCCACCAGCAGTTTCACCATCTCGAGGCTCCTTTTCTCGATGGCGATGTGCAGGGCGGTCTGGCCTGGGGGCAGAGCAAACCTGTCACTGTGTGCCACTGCCAGGGCACAGCAGGGATGCCACCAGTGCAGGCTGGCAGCCCAGGGCTTTCAGCAAGCCTCAAAACCATCAGAAATCCACCACCAGGGCAGGCAATTCCCCCTGCCTGGCACTGAGATCCCAAAGAGCCACGAGAGGGCTGAGACAAGCACGCTGCCAAACAGAGCTCGTTGAGGCCACGGACCACTTCATTTTTACAAGTGCTTTTTATACTTTCCCAAGTAAATCATCTCGCTTCTTGGGTTATTCAGCATGTATAATTTCTGTTTTACAGACCAAGGAGGGCATAACTCAAGGCTGAAGGAGATGCAGGAGCAGAATCAGAAAGAAGAGGTGAGTGGGCTGTGGTGACTGCACCAGAACCTTGGGCTGCAGGAGCTCCAGTTCCCCTCCTTTTCCTTTTTCCTGCTCATTTCTCAGGAATCCTTCCTCACCTCTGTAGAAACAGTCAGAGCACGACACATTGACAAGTGGCCTGGGGTTCTGTGTCTTTTGGTCTATTTCCAGCAAGACTGGGATTGTGTCATTCTTCCCGTTTTTTAAGTTCAGCAGGGCTTTCATCAAGCAGGTCTTCCCAGTCTTTGCATCTGGCAAGGAGAGAGGATTGAATGGGTTGTGGGTTTGCTTTGTACACAGCTGTAATCCTTGATTCAAATATCTTCATTTTAAAAACCTTTAAAGGTTCTTTAAAGGTTCTTATTGGTATAAGAACCTTTATGCCAATACAGGTATAAAGTTTCTTATCAGTATTTTAAAATACGGATAAGTATTTAAAGGTTTAAATCCTTTAAAGGTTTAAAGTATTTTAAAGGTTCTTATCAGTATTTTTAGTAGTCCTGAGGCAAAAACCTTAGGATATATTTAATTAATAAATATATTCATTAAATATATCCACCATTCTCCACCTTGGGGTGAATGTAAGGAAAATCAGAGGAGACAGAGGAAAAAGCAAAGAACCACGAGCACATTCCCCTGCTCCCCTCTGCTACCCCCGGGAATAACAAACCATTCCAGGAGCAGGAATCTACCTGTGTACTCGGAATTGGTGAGGAATTTGGAGTTCCTCCTTAAATACTCCAGCAAACCATCCAGAGCCTCGGGGCTGCCCCTGACCACAGCACTGAACAGCCGGTCCCTGTCAAAGCGATTCGGGTCCTTCTGGCTGCGGGACAAAGGCAGTGTCAGGAATTCTGGAGAAGGGAAGTTCTGGAGAGAAGGGGCAGGAAGGTGCCAGAGCTCTAGTGGGACAGTGGAAGGAAGGAGGGAGATGGAGGAGAGTTTGTTGAAGGGAGGAAAAAAAAAAACCCACTCAAATGTTTTATTTTTGAGTCAAGGGAAAAATAGAGACAGTTATTTCCCAGAATTCTGCTAAGTGGCTGCTCTTTCCATCAGCTGGAGCTGTTCCCAGCCCCGGCCTGATGTGCAGCCCTGGCAGACATCCAGAGCAGAGAGAGGAGCCCAGGATGGCTGCAGGACCAGAGTCAGCCCATCCCTGGTGGGATTTAGTATAGGCTCTTTTAGTGGAGGCTTGGGAAAATCTGTAGGCTCCCACCAGCCAGGATCAGTGTGGATCATCTGGATCAACCCAAATTGGTCAAATACCCCCAAGTCACTCACTTGCTGACGAGTCCTGGCCGATAATTCAGATTAACCTTGATTTTAGGGGCAAAGTCACTGCTCTCCTTCTGATAAGGTGTCTCCAAGGGTTGTGGCTCTCCTTTCCTTCCATGTCCTGACCTTTCTTCCTTTTTACTCGGGGCAGGTTTATCTTCCTGGACGCTGTCATCTGTTTCTAGCAGTCCCATGAGCCTATTCCTCTGAGCTGGGCCTGGCTGCCCGTTTGTGAATTTATCCATTGCCAGGAGAGATGGTCCTGCAGATCAGCAAAGATGTTCCCTGTGGGGGCACTAAACCTGCAAGGGATGGGGAGAACAAACACAATTTCTTCACAAACCCCAAAGGTGTTTGGATGCAAAGAAAGTTCCCAGATTGAGCATGGGTCCCTGGAGAGGGAGATTTGGCAAAACTCTGCATAGAGGAGGATTATTTGAATAAAGGATCAGGGTCTAAATGGGGTTCCAGTAGAGGAGAAGTTTAGAAGCAGCTCATGAAGCACAGGCAACTTGTCTGCAGCACTTCTGAACCCCCTGTGTGGGATGACCTCACCTGCTGGCAGCAGCACAGGTTCCTGACATAAAAGGCAAGGAAAGTGGCTCTTTAGGAGTCTGTGATCGTTGTTCTTGTCTCAGTGCACCCAGCACAGGCACAGGCTGGTCACCAAGTGGCCAAAAAGATAAAGGTTCACTGAGGGCCCTCTTTGGAACAGTGATAAGTTTGCCCACAGTTCTGCTGGGAAGTTTTAGGCTGTCCAGACAGGGAAACACCTGCACAAACTGTCTGACATTTCATCCTGGGGCAAAATGAGTGGGACCTCCCCAATATTCGGAGGTTGTCCATGTGAGCACAGAGCTGGAGCTCCCAGCTCCAAGGCAGGCACAGTCCCCCTGCCCTGCAGACACTCACAGCCCTGGGAGCCCGCTCAGAGCACAGCTCCACCAGAGCAGCAGCACCAGCAGAGCTCCCAGCCAGACCCTTTCCCTCCTCTGATGCTTCCTGAGCTGTTTTGACTCTTTGGGGACTTCTCTCTGGGTAGATCTCGGACCACACCCAAGGCACAGTGCCAGGAGCGTTTCACAGGGTTTGTGAGGCACAAATTAAACATCCACAGTCACCAACCTGCAGCAGAGCTCTGCTCAGCAGCTCCTGCTCATTCCCAGGCACTCCCTCCAAAGGGTTAACAGGTTTCCTCTGAAGAGAACTCTCCCTTGCTGGGGCTGCAGCCAGACTCCATCGCCTGCACCAGCAAAGAGGTAAATGGGCACAGCAGAAGCATTCTGCCTTAGGTTAGGGTGGGAAAAAACCCAGGTCTGGGCAGAAAACAGCCACAAAACATCTTCGTGCAGCTCACAGCAAGAAATCCCAGGGCTGATTTGGAGACAGACCGTTCTGATAATCCAGACACCCGGTTTAGTCTGCGCCCTAGTGACAAACATTCCTCTGCACCACCCTTTAACCCCACCTCAGCCTTGCTTCCCTCCCCAAAACACTTACTGCTGCATTTGCCGAATCCTTTAGAAGGATATTTGCGCTTCCATAACAGTTTGCTTGTGCTTTTCTGTCTTCCTCTCCCCAAAATCACTCCTCAGCTGCAGTTTCCATCTCTCCACAGCGCTCAAGAGAGTTATTTATCATCAGTCTTGCAGAGACAGAGCGTCTGGGTTAAAAGCAAGAGCAAAATGGTCCTGTAAAAAAGGACCCTCTGATGTGTCCACCCGCTCTGTGCATCCCTGGGAGCACAGGGAGCACTTTCTGCTTGCCAGCCCAAGTTGCCAAGAGCTGAGCCCTGTCCCTGAGCCCTCACCAAGCCCTGCTGTCACAAGAGCTCAGCACTTACCAGAAGTTGCTGCAAGCTCCACCCAAGAACTGATGTGACAAGGAGTCCCAACAGATCCTTCAGAGGGGAAGTAACCTCCCAGCAGAAACCAAGTCAAGCAGCAAGAAGTGTTAATTGGCATGAAGGCAGACCCCAAATTATTTCCATCCACGGGTGAGAAGCCATGCAGGGAAGCCCAAGTTCACTTCAGCAGCCTGGCAGTGGCACAGTGGGGAGCTCCTGGCTGGTCCATGAGGGGATCCAAGGTTCCTGCGAGAAGGAGCAGCCCCAGATCTCCATGATTTCCTCAACTCTGTGGCTTTTTGCAAAGTGAAGGAGGGTTTGCACAGGAAATGACTGGCTAGATTTCTCAGTGAAGGGGAGAGCCAATGAGTGCAGTGCTCTTATATGGGAAAGCTGGCTGCAAATTGCAAATTCAGAACGCTTAACCCCTGCCTGCACCCAGCGAGGCAGCCCCCTGAGCTGCCACAAGGCTGCCCAGGACCAGCAGAAGTGCCTGGGAACAGCTGAGGCCAAACTTTGTGTGGGGAGCCGGGGCTGCAGAGCCCCAGGGACACAAAGAGTGTCCCACCAAAGCAGCATCAGCTGCTCCTCAGGGGCCGGGGCACTGCCCTGGCAGCGCCAGACTCTCAGGGCGCTGCTTCCTCCATCTGCTCCGGGGCCTGGGCGTGCTCCGAAGGAGAAAAGTCTGGGACAGGGATGTCCCCCCAGCCCACAACTGACTGTCCTTGGGCCCACACACCCCAAAAGCAGGAGCCTGGGGAGCAGAGGACAGCAGCCCCCAGCAGTGTCCCAGCTCCTCTCTGAGAGCAGGCACCTCCTGGGTGTCACCATGGGATGCCCTGGCACCTCCTGGGTGTCACTGTGGGATGCTCTGGCACCTCCTCGGAACGCAGAACACCCACAGAAACTTTCCCAGACTCAGCTGTGAGACCCCCTCCCTGTAAATACACCAAGAAATGGCACGGTGCCTTTTCCTTCCTCGTGGTTTTGCAGGAGATTTCAAGTTTCTATCTCTAGATTCCTGTGTTTTGAAATGAAGCAGGTCCAGCGACTACATGAAGCTGCTTTTTTTTTTTTTTTTTTTCCATGATGGTTTCTTAATGATGAATTAAGACCCACAGAACAGCCTATAAAGAAGAGATAAATGCAAGATCAGATCCAATCTCTTCAATCCCCTCCTCGTTCCAGCCTTGCACTGATCTGGCTCCGTTTGCTTTAGCTCTGTTACACTTCATTTACTGTGATACCAACAGAGCTTCAGGAGTTCAGCTCAAACTTACAGATTTAAATCCTTTCAGGCTCCTTCTCCAGCTGTCCTGGGAGGCATCCCAGCACTGCAGCCAAGGGATGAAATCAGCCCTCAGGAGTGCATCACAGCAGAGCTCTGCCTGCACAGCTGCTTTTCATATCCTGCAGGGAGGGAGGGGAATGTGCAGTTTGCTGGGAAGGAATCGCTGCCAGCTGGGAGATACCCAGAGGAAAACAGCACTTCAACCCCACCTGCCCGCCAGCCTGAATTTCCCTCTTGCTTTTTTGAGGCTTTTATGTGGAGGAACATGAAGGAATCTCACAATTGCTTATTTTACCCATGAAATGTGTCTGAGTTTGTCCTGACAGGAGGGACACGTCCTGTGGAAATCTGGGAAGAAAGTCAAACTGCCAAGTGAAATCTCAAATCAAGTGTTAAAATTATATTATGTTCTAATTTATTCATTAATAATGAATATTATCAAATCTATTAATATATATTATATAAATTATATTATCCATTATATAGCTATATTAAAATTATAGATGAGTAATTCACAGCAGAAAAAGCAATGACTGGAACCTGCTTAAACAAAAAGAAGCAAAACAAGAACATTTCCTGAAATATATATTCTGTGTTCACCTAAATTCCCATTTTTTACCAAATACTGTAAAACATAGTAATCCTTTATTTGATACCATGTTTTCAGTATGCTGTAAATAGAAGTTCAAAGTCACTTGCAATTTAGTTACAGGATTGGTCTGTGGCCACTCTGGTGTAACAGCTGAAAATCATCTTCACAGAGGAGGAAAACTTGTACTAACAACATGCAAGGGTGGAGAATTAAAATACAACAGGTAGGCCAGCAAAAGAAAAAACAATTTCTTACAAAGGTGTATTTTCACACTCGGGAAGATATCAAGTGTTTTTGCAAGGCCCTTTTTTATTTTTTTCCATGTAAATCTTATGTAAAAGCCACGCTGAAGTGATGAATTTGAGCAGCTTCATTTCTTAGTTACGGATGGAAATCAGCCAGTGCCCAATCTGAAACATAAATATTCTTAAATATAAACCCTCGTCAGAACTTGTCTGATAGCCCAGGAAACTCGATTAATCTACACAAGAGTATTTCTGGAACTGCAAGTTCCCCATCACAACATTTCCAGGCTCCAATCTATATTCTTTAAAGGAACCATCCAGCTCTCTTATTCCTAAAATGGAAATATCTTTCTGCTTGATGTATCCCTTTCTGTAGGATCCCAGCCTGCAGGAATGCTCTGCTGACAATCAGAGAGCGGCGGAAGAGGAAATCCAGATGGAAAATAACCAAAATAATCGGTTTGTGGAGGAACAGTGACATCCTGTGGCCACCGAGGCAGTCGGAATTCCTGCTGCTTTTCAAACAGCCAAATCGGTTTTTTTTTGTTGTTGTTTTTTTTTTTTTTTTTTTTTTGAGACAACAGATTAGAAATTAACTGAAGCAATAAGAAAAAGAACTCAAAGGCCAGTCACAAAATTTAGATTACAGCAGGATTAAAAGATGTTACCAGAATCTGTTGTAAATATGGGAGCATTAAGATTATGCTAATGGCATAGAGATTCTGGCTAAAACATATTGAATTATCATTTTAGTTATGAATAGTTGTCTCTAAGCAGACCTTTGAGGCACCATCATATTGTAGGAATAAAAGAAAGTATATTTTAACAGCATAAAGTATTTGTATTGCCTGACATCTTACTTTGTTTTATGCTAATAACTTCGGTGTAAACACTGCATATTATACAAATTCATATTCACATTTCCTTGTGATTCATACACATTTCCTTCATTTGCTTAAATTGCAAGGATTTTTTTCTTATTATGAAGAAATCCTTGCAGTCATTTCCTGGAGCACCCCAGGTGCCAGTGGAGGCCACAGCTCAACACCAGAGGCTCAGGCCAAAAACCAGAGCAGAGGGGCCTGTGCAGACATGACTTTTGAGCTGAATGTATTTTATATTCTATCGTTATATAACTTACACATTAATTATTAAACTTATATTGTTATATTGTATACATTGACATGGGTTTCTCATGATCTTTCTTAGGCCCCTGACCACAGTTTCTCATTATTATTCTTACTATTAAACAGTAATTCTATTTAATTACTAAACAATCATCACATCTAACAATTATATCATTTATCATGTACTAGCTACACAGGGGCAGTTCTAGCAAGGTACACATCCTTCATGTAGCCAGGGTATTTATTTTTTCAGGGCCTACTAAGCTTAATTTTCCTTTTAACCCTAAATCCCCATGATTTTAAAACCCTTTTACTATCACAGTGCCCACCCCAAACCCCAGCAGGAAGGTCAGGAATATTGTTGGACTAAGTTATTTTTTTACTTAAAAATTGGGCAACTGTGAGGCATTTTAGAACCTCTTATTCTGTTTTTAGCCTCATTTGAAGGATGAGACAATACAGATGTTACATACTATATAAACCTTCAAATATTAAAATTTTTCTGCAAATCTATTTCCCACAGAATGTGAGTTTATTCAGTGCCCACCCCAAAGCCCAGCAGGAAGATCAATTTATTGATGTCAGTTTATTCAGTGCTTTATTCCTGTGGGACTGGGAACTGCTCAGGGACTTCAGGCAGGGACCAGCTGGGGCTGGGACATTTGAGGGTCACCCTGCCCTGCCAGGGCCACCCCGAGGTTCCCAGAACTATTTCCAGGGTTTTTGCCCTCCCAGGGAAGCGCCTGCACAGCCTCTCTGGCCACCTGCGAGGTGGTTAAACTGCAAAAAGCACAAAACCAAAACAGCAATTGCGGGAAAACTCAAACTAAGGGAAGTCTCCTGTGGCAGAGACAGTAAATGTTTATAGAACTTTGTATTTCTGCTAGCTCAGCAGACAGAAAAGCAGGGTAAGAGAGGCCCGAGGTGACACCGAGCAGTTTGGGGCAGGGGCACAGGGTGGGGCCACTCCTGGAGTTCCATTTCAAGGTGAGCAGAACTCAGCAGGTGAGGACATTGACAGCCACCCCCACCACCTGGGATGGTTTTGGGCAAGGGCATATATGGATATTGCACCCCCTACTGCAATCAAACTAACCCAGCCCCAACCCCAATTTGTCTGAGTGAGTTTCCTTCACCCACTCCACAAACAAAAAAACCCAAACCCAGCTAACCCACACTCGAGTGTGAACTGCCCCCCGCCCCTTTTTGGCATTAATGATTGTGCAGAACTCCCCAACCCAGGCAGCTCTTACACTGGCATTTCAAGTTTCACCTTCCCACCCACCACGCAATTCCCACTGTGGCCAGTCCTCCCCCACCCACAGAGTCCCTTCAGGGCAGTGCCAGGCACTGGCACCCCTCACACCCACCCCAGGGACCAGCAGAATTTAAACACTCCACAGGTCCTTAACTTGCAGCAAAACCCACCCCGTGCAAAGACCACCACACCATTTTGCGGTGTCTATCCCACCTGGAAGCTGAGTGCTGCTAAAATCTAAGAAGAAAAAACAACATGGTATTATTAGCACTTAAGATTTTAATCCAGATCCATTTTAACCACAAGGTTGGTCCTCATCATACATGCAAAGAGGCCTGAACTGCCAAGGTAAGAAGCTAAAGCATTTCACTTAACACACCAGTTTCACCTGCTTGAACTGAGACAGACTACAGGGTGTAATGTGCAACAGAAAACTTTATTAGCATTTCAGAGTTGGTTCAGCAGTTACTCAAGCTTGCATTAACTTAATATTAAGACATTGAAGAACTACAGTGCAAACACAAGTGCCACTGGCAACCCTGGTGTCAAGCAAGATGCACAAGAACTTAACAGCCACCCCTGAGGCGCAGCACCAGGTGCAGAGTTGACTCCTTCTGGATGTTGTAGTCGGACAGGGTGCGCCCATCTTCCAGCTGCTTGCCAGCGAAAATCAGCCTCTGCTGGTCTGGGGGAATGCCTTCCTTGTCCTGGATCTTGGCCTTCACATTCTCGATGGTGTCACTGGGCTCAACTTCCAGGGTGATGGTCTTGCCAGTCAGGGTCTTCACGAAGATCTGCATCCCACCCCTGAGGCGCAGGACAAGGTGCAGGGTGGATTCCTTCTGGATGTTGTAGTCGGACAAAGTACGACCATCCTCCAGCTGCTTACCAGCGAAAATCAGCCTCTGCTGGTCTGGGGGAATGCCTTCCTTGTCCTGGATCTTGGCCTTCACATTTTCAATGGTGTCACTGGGCTCCACCTCGAGAGTGATGGTCTTGCCGGTCAGGGTCTTGACGAAGATCTGCATCCCACCCCTGAGGCGCAGCACCAGGTGCAGGGTGGATTCTTTCTGGATGTTGTAGTCAGACAGGGTGCGCCCATCTTCCAGCTGCTTGCCAGCGAAAATCAGCCTCTGCTGGTCTGGGGGAATGCCCTCCTTGTCCTGGATCTTGGCCTTGACGTTCTCGATGGTGTCACTGGGCTCCACCTCAAGAGTGATGGTCTTGCCAGTCAGGGTTTTCACAAAGATCTGCATCCCACCTCTCAGGCGCAGCACCAGGTGCAGGGTGGATTCCTTCTGGATGTTGTAGTCAGAGAGGGTGCGCCCATCCTCCAGTTGCTTACCAGCAAAGATCAGCCTCTGCTGGTCAGGAGGGATACCTTCCTTGTCCTGGATCTTGGCCTTCACATTTTCAATGGTGTCACTGGGCTCAACTTCCAGGGTGATGGTCTTGCCAGTCAGGGTCTTCACAAAGATCTGCATCCCACCTCTCAGGCGCAGCACCAGGTGCAGGGTGGATTCCTTCTGGATGTTGTAGTCAGACAGGGTGCGCCCATCTTCCAGCTGCTTGCCAGCAAAGATCAGCCTCTGCTGGTCAGGAGGGATACCTTCCTTGTCCTGGATCTTGGCCTTCACATTCTCGATGGTGTCACTGGGCTCCACCTCGAGAGTGATGGTCTTGCCGGTCAGGGTTTTCACGAAGATCTGCATCCCACCTCTCAGGCGCAGCACCAGGTGCAGAGTTGACTCTTTCTGGATGTTGTAGTCGGAGAGGGTGCGCCCATCTTCCAGCTGCTTGCCAGCAAAGATCAGCCTCTGCTGGTCTGGGGGAATGCCCTCCTTGTCCTGGATCTTGGCCTTCACATTTTCAATGGTGTCACTGGGCTCCACCTCAAGGGTGATGGTCTTGCCAGTCAGGGTCTTCACAAAGATCTGCATTGTTGACCTGAAAGGCAAACAGATGTTTCAGCTACAGCCACTTCCTCAAATAAAACCTTCAGTAAATCCTCAACAAAAGGATTTGCTATTTCCCTTTAAAGTTTTTTACCTTGGTTGTAGGAAACGTGAAATTAAAAAAACGTTTTCCACTTTGGCTAACTAAACCTGGTTTTGAGGCAAAGTCTATTGAGTTCTTTAAACAAATTACTCTGATTAGAGGACTCCCAGGCCTCCTCTCCTTTACGCCCGCAGGGCAGCGGTGCGGCAGCGGAGCCGCCCGGCTCTCCCCCAGTAGGGCAGCGGAGCCCGGAGCCGCCCGGCTCTGCCCCCGCCCCGCGGCAGCGCTCGGCCCGCCCCGCTCCGGCAGTGACTCACAGCCGCCTTCCGGCAGCGCGGCCCGCGCCATCTTCCCCGGATCGAGGCCGCCTCCCCGGCCCCTGACGAGCATTAACCGGATTTACCCCCTCGGCCCCTCCGCCCGGCCCAGCTCCCGCCGGCGCGGTTCAGAGCGCCACACAACGCGGCCCAGCTCCGCCGCCCGCTCGCTCGCTCCGTTACCCTGCTGCAAACCGCCCGGCAGCGCCCAGCCCGCCCGGCACGGCGGCACCCAGAGCACCGGGCTCCCCTCGCCGTACCCCCGATTCCCCCAGCGCACTCACGTCTGCGGCCCCGAGCGATAAATCTGTAAAATGTATCCAGCGGTGCTGAGCCTCGGATCTGCCGAGTGACGCACTCCCGCCCGTATTTATAGGGATTCGAGCCACGCAGGCCCCGCCCACCAAAACTAGTGTGTCCATCCGCCTCCCAAAGTAGTCCCCAGGCAAAACTCCCTGTTCTGGAGCGCACTCGCCTTTTCCCCGCTCCAGTCCCTCTTCCGCAGGCAAAGGGGTCCCAGAGTTTCAGCGAGGGGGATCAGACCCTTCAAAATCGGCAGATTTCTGAGGGCGCGGATGGATCTGGGACCGTTTTCGGTCGCGGCGCTGCGACCATGCGTTGGTGGGAAGACTGAGAAGTCGCGCGGTGATTGGTGGGGCGGGCCGCAGGGCGGGCTCTGATTGGCTGCTCGGGGAGGGGCGGTTGGCGAGGGGTGGGGCGGCGGGGCCAGGGGAGCTCTGGAAGGTTCGGCGGCGCTGCGCGCTGATTGGCCCGCGGTGAGGTCACGCTGTTGCTGGGGCAGCGCCCGGCGGGGCAGATTTGGGCCGTGAGGGGACAGTGGAGGGGGGGGGGGATTATGGTGGGGATTGGGGTTAATGACGGCGATAGGATCGATACTGGGGCTCCTTTAACTCCAGCCTGAACCCCAGCAGTGCTCAGGCACGGACTGGGGGAGAAGTGCCCTAAAAAAAGCAGAGTGACCCTTGGTGGCGGTGTTTTATGACCCACTGGCCCCTCAGCCCAAGCCTTTGCCCAGGATGGCTCCATGGAAAAGCCCAGGATGGGCTGTAGGGCTGGGCCTGGCCTGTAAGGCCGAGAGGAACAGCAGAACTGAGGTAGCAGAGTTGGAAAAACAACATAATCCAGGAGCGTTGGTGGCTGCTGGGGTGTGCCACGAGCTGGCCCCGTCACGGGGCCCAAACAAATGAAATGCTGACATTTGCAATTCAAATGGTTATTTACTTGCCTCCAGAACAGGAAGTTTTGATCAGTTATGAAGCAGCCATCATCTGTGAACTCGTGTGGAAACGTGCCTCGCATTAGTTAAACTTCATTATACCTTTCAGGCTGGCTCTTAACTAATTTTGTATTGTATTAAAACACAAAATCCAAGATGGTTTTTTGTGTTTTTTCAGCCCTCAGTGGAGCCAGGTGACCTTGTTAAATCCTCCACTCACAAAATATCAGCACATGTCTGACAGGCAAGATTCACTACAGAGCTGCTCTATTTTCCCCTAAAAACAGCTCAAACTCAGACAAAAATACAAAAACACCAAGAAGAAAACAAAAAGAAAAAAAAACAAACCCCAACAACAAAATCCTTTTGCTTTCCTTTCTCCTAACAGGGTTTCTAGCACCTCCTGGTTTACAGTAAAAAGGAAATAAATCATCCTACCAATGATCACTCAAAATGCAGGAACAGGAAGAGGGAAAAATGCTAACTGGAAAGTTCAGAAAGCTCCATTGCAATAACCAACTTTGGAAATACTTTTGGCTACATAAATTAAGGACAAAAGGCAGAGTTGGGCAATGTCCCGTTTGTTTGCTGCCAGTTCTGCTCACTGTTTCCAGCACGGGTTTTGTTTGGTGGTGCCAAGGTGCTGAAGGTTTGCTCCAAGGCTGGCCTGTGCCTGCTGCACATCCCAGGCATTCTTCCCAGAGGAAAGGCTACCAGTGACTAATATTTACAAATATGAAAGGCCACATCTGTAAAGCCAGAGATTAATGTAAAGCCTGGGCAGTGTTAAAGCACATCACACATTTATTAAGGATTTTAGGGTGCATATTTCTCTTTTTAACATTCCTCTAAATGGAGAAGGAGGAATTTCTGTCATTTTTTTTCTTTTCTCTCTGTGTAAACCAAAGAGCACAGGAGCCCTCTCTTGGTTTTGTTGTTTTTGTTTGTTTTTTTTTTCCTAAATATGGCTGAATCTATGATGTGGCTGTACAAAGCACATGCATTTAACAAACCTTTCCCTGGTAGCTCTTGGGGAATAAAAACCACCGAGCAGCTGACTCTGAACTGTATATAAATAAATGCAAAGCTGAAAACCCCAGAAATCTGTATCTTGTGACTGCTGTGACCACAGGTGGCTCCAGCCTTTGCCAGGGCATGGGGCCTGCAGTTGGGAACACACATTTCTTTTCAAAAGTAGGTCACTGGGCAGTGGTACAGAGCAACCTACTTTCAGGAGAGAAGAATCTGGGGTCAGGGAAATGTTTCCAAGGAATCTGTACGTTCTGGAACACAAGCTGGGTCTGGTTTTTATATAGGCTAATGTTCTAGCAACGAGGTATCATTTTGACATGAGGCAATCTGTTTATCTTTAGCTACCAAGTTTAGCTTGGGACAGCCAGCCAGACTGTGGCAAGTCCAGTTACTGTTCTTTGTTCAGACAAAAATAAGGCTGCTTGCCACAGGGAAAAACAAAAAAAAAAATATATATATATACACATATACATATTCCTATCTCATAACATTACTCACACCTGTCTCTCACTGTGTATGATGCAGTATAATTATATTTACAGTTGTGGAGATAAATATCGTCTCGGTGTAGCAGTGCAGGAAGGTCCAGGCTTGGATCAAGTTCCACCCACGAGACAAACAGACCCGTGGCATGTCACTGCTTGTCCCCAAGCTGCCAGCCTGGAGGGTTACACAAACAGTGAGTCAGAATTCAAAGTACTGTGAGATTGACTGTGATATTCTGAGATTACCAAAAAAAAAAAGGCAACTCCTTCAGTTTTGTTTTTATAGCTTTATGCTAAAAATAAACTCACGAAACAAAGTTTTTAAGAAGCCACTAAGAAAAACAAATTTTAAGAAAAACAAATAGATTGGTAGTAAAAAGATGAAAATGAGTGATATTCCTCTGTCTCCCTGTTTGTCTAAAGCGTATTTTAACTTTGTAGGACACGTGGCATTCAGCTTTCAGGGCTGTGCTGCCACGATCAACAGGCCCGGGCAGCTCTGGGTGACACAGAGGGAGATGTGACAGCTCTGCTGGAAGGAAATGGACGTCCAAAAAAAAAGGGGATTTTGTAAAGGGCTGAAATCACAGGTTTGTGCCTGCTTGGTGTGCCAGAGAGAGCAACAGCTTTAACTGATAACTATGTCTGTTCCACAGCTCCTTGTCTGCATCTCTCACTGCCTCCTGCCCGGGAATGGTTTTGGATCCCATCCAAGCTGCAGTGCAGGGAGGGAACTGCTTTGTTCAGCTCCTCTGAGCACATCCAGCTTGTGCTTTCTGGGCCGAGGTTTTCCAGCCAAACAGCACAGAAGTTCCCTGGGAAACAGGCAGACAGAAGAAGAAATGGCCGAAGAAACAGGCAGAAGAAACGAGTCCTAAGCTGTTGTTTATCACTGTTAGTAAGTTCAGCCGAAGCTCTGTAACAGTGAACAGAAACAGTGTCACCTCCTGCATTTTGTTTTCAGATCCAGCTTGGGTCCTTTGATGGGGAGGAAAACGTCTGGAATGTTTCCCCCTCCACCACAGGGAGACTGAAATCCAAGCACTGCCATTTCCCCCCCTGAACAAATCAGGTACTTTGAACCACCTCAGTTTTTTAGGTGTGCTGTCAGCTGTGCACAACTCCTAGTTCTTTGCTTATTAGATATCAAAACCATCCACAGTTCCTAATTCTCTTTACCCCCAAACATGTAGCTGCTTTCGGTGCTGCTTTGGGGATAAAAATGCTCTTCCAGGCAGAATTTCAATGCTGGCTGTGAGCCAGGCCTGCAGAGCTGAGTCATTGTTATACAAGCAGAGCTGAGATGGCACAGAAAAGCCCTTTTGTACTTTAACACTGAACACGTCAGCTGCTGCTGGCCTTTCAGCATCACAAGACACCTACACAGAACCAACTGGAATTTACTGGACTTTTCCTCTTGTCCACCCCGTCATCTGGATATTTCTTCCTGTTTCATTTTGCCTCTCAAGCTTTACAGCAAATGCATTTTTCATCAAGCTGCTGGCCTCTCCTGAAGCCTGGCAAACACTGCATCAGCTTTGGAAGCAGTGAAATGAGAGCTGGTAACTCTGGGCACTGGAAGGTGCTGCCCAGATACACTGACAATGCAACATTTGACCACTGAAATTTAGGGCTTTCGGCTCAAAATATCTGTAACATTAATCATCAGACAGAGTTCCACCTTAAAGCTCTGGAATTGATTATTTATGTGAGACTCAGTTTTGTGTTCTGAGTCCTTTGTGATAAAATATGAAGCGAATGAAAAAACATAAACAATTTATTTACTATGGCATTTTGCAGTTCCGTTTTTGTCCTCCAGTTCCTTATTCTGAGATATCACAGGAGAACAGAATTTAGCTTCTCAAAACAGCTTCTGTATTTAAAATAAAGTGAACTAATTGTGGAGAGGCACGGAGAGTGACAGATTTGCAGATATTACATGGACAAATTCCCTCCAGTTTTGTCCTGGAACTGCTTTTTTGAGTGCTGGTGGCTCCTGTCTTACAGAGGGTCATTTGTGTGAATCGACATAATGAACCCCTGAAATGAACTCCTAAAATTGCCCTCTGCTTTCAGTGTTTTGGGTTCAGTGTCTTTGGGACAGGAGTGGTGCTGGCCATGCCTGAGGGGAGATGAATCCCTGCTGCAGCCAGCACAGGCTCCGTTTCAGTGCCTTCCCAGTTTCACCTCAGTGACTTTTTCCTCCCAAAATACGAGGTGACTGACATGTAATCTGGTTTGACTAAAGGTCTGGGAGTGGCTCAGATCAGGAGCTCCATGTGAATTTGTCACACAGGGTGTATTCTCGTGCGTCCATGAGAGAGTAACCAGAACAGAGATTCACAGAAGGGATAACAGGAAATTGTAACTCGCTGCCCTTTCCTGTCATCAGAGATGTGCTGAGCACAGGATTCAGAAGCAAATCCTGGCATGTCCCATCTCGGGAGGCAGCCTGAACACCAGAGGCACATGGTTTTAAAGCTCTTTCCCAGACTGGAGTGCTGACGAATGTTTATTCATCACTGCCCTGCTTTGCCACGTTTCCTGGCTGCCACAGGACCTTTTGGTGCCTCTCTGCCTCTCAAGACTCAGCTCACTTGTTTACATATTTCCCCTTCTTGGAAAGAACAAGACATTAAGTTCTGTTGACTACAAATTCTTGATTATATGTCAAACAAAAGAAGTTTCCAATCCTGCAACACTGAGCACAAAGGTTTGTCTTTGGAGTGATTATTTTTTCCCTCAATCAAGTGTGACTTGGACACCTCCAAGTTTTGTACTTTTCCCTGCACTGATAGTTTTACTTGAGAAACAGCACTGGATTTCAGTGTTCAAAAAAACCCTTTTGTAAGATATTTACCACTAAAAGGGTGATTTCACATTTTCCTCTTTCGTTGTTGTTTATTTGGTTGATTATTTTGGTTTTGGTTTTAGTTTGGTTGGGTTTTTTTTTTTTTTTTTTTTTTTTTTGTGCTTTTTAAGGTATGTACTCTCTTATTTTCAAGCCTTTGCTAATAGAATTAGTGAAAAGCTAAGTGGGAATCCTGTTAGAAGCCATTTCTCTGCAAAGCTGCCACAATGACTTCAGACCTCAGGAAGGCCTAAACACATCCTGTGCTGTCACAGCAATGCTGTGTAAATGAGGGCTGTTCATAGCAGAGAAGTGAAACACCCCAATTCCAGCAGCACCTCGGATCTGCTGAGCACCTTCCCATCCGTGAACACCGTGTTGAGAATGAGAATGAGAGGGGAAACCTTGGGCTCATGCCTGTGGATAACTGCCCTCAGCCCTGGAATCAGAAAATCACAGAACCCTTAAGGCTGGGAAAAACAGATTCTAAGATCATCAAGTGCAACTGTTAACCCAGCACTGCCAAGCCCACCACTGAACCATGTCCCCAAGTGCCACATCCAGCAGTTTCTCGAACACTTCCAGGGCTGGTGCCTCCAGCACTTCCCCGGGCAGCCTGTTCCAGGGCCAAAAGGTGGCCAGCAGGACCCGGGCAGTGACTGTCCCTGTGCTGGCCACTGCTGAGGCCACGCCTCGACTCCTGGGGTCACTTTTGGGCCCAGCACGAGGGACACTGAGGGCTGGTGCGTGTCCAGAGAAGGGAACGGAGCTGGGGAAGGGGCTGGAGCCCCAGGAGGGGCTGAGGCAGCCGGGGGGGCTCAGCCTGGAGCGAAGGGAGCTCAGGGAGCTTGTCCCTCTCTACAGCTCCCACGTCCCCTCAGCCCCTCCCGTGTCCCCTCAGCCCTTCCCGTGTCCCCTCAGCCCTTCCCGTGTCCCTTCAGCCCTTCCCGTGTCCCCTCCCGTGTCCCCTCAGCCCCTCCCGTGTCCCCTCAGCCCTTCCCGTGTCCCCTCAGCCCTTCCCGTGTCCCCTCCCGTGTCCCTTCAGCCCCTCCCATGTCCCCTCCCGTGTCCCCTCAGCCCCTCCCGTGTCCCCTCAGCCCTTCCCGTGTCCCCTCAGCCCCTCCCGTGTCCCCTCAGCCCTTCCCGTGTCCCCTCAGCCCTTCCTGTGTCCCTTCAGCCCCTCCCGTGTCCCCTCAGCCCTTCCCGTGTCCCCTCCCGTGTCCCTTCAGCCCCTTCCGTGTCCCTTCAGCCCCTCCCGCGTCCCCTCCCATGTGCCCTCCCGTGTCCCTTCAGCCCCTCCCATGTCCCCTCCCGTGTCCCTTCACCCTCTCCTGTGTCCTCTCTCGTGTCCCGCCTGTCCCCCCGTGTGCCGCCTGTCCCCCCGTGTGCCGCCTGTCCCCCCGTGTGCCGCCTGTCCCCTCGTGTCCCGCCTGTTCCCCCTCTGTCCCCCCGTGTCCCCCCGTGTCCCCTTTGACCCCCCGTGTCCCCTCTGTCCCCCCGTGTCCCGCCTGTCCCCCGTGTCCCCCCGTGTCCCGCCTGTCCCCCGTGTCCCCTCTGTCCCCCGTGTCCCGCCTGTCCCCCCGTGTCCCCTCTGTCCCCCCGAGCCCCATGCCGGTGGGGCGCACACGGCGCTGCCGGCGGGGCAGCGCGGCTGCGGGCGGGCCGCCCGTGGCCCGGAGCAGGAACAGCGGGGAAAGCCCGGCCCGGGCTAAGGAGGAGCCCCCCGAGGCGAAGGAGGAGCCCCCCGTGCCCGGTGCCGTGGATCTGGGGGCGCAGAGCCGGCGCTGGGCCGCATTCCTGCAGCAGCACCGGCTGAGCAGCGAGGAGGCGGCGCAGCTGCTGCTGGACGCCTTGTGAGTAACGGGCCGGGGCTCCGGGCTCCCGTTCACCGCTGCGCTCTCTGCACCGCGGCTCCCGAGGGCTGCCGAGGAGGGCCGGGGGTAGGATGGGGCTTTCTGTGCTAAAGCTGCCCGTGTTTTAAGGCTCTCCTATCGAAAATGCCCTTGGGAGCTCGGTGAGGCTCAGCTGCGAAATCTCCACCCATTTCCTGTGCACGGCACATCAGAAACTGGCCGTGGGAGGCAAAATCTGGAAGGAAAATGTTTTTTTTTTTCCTTTGCATTTTGCGATTGACCCACACGGTGACTGCCCAGCTGCTGTGGAGGCGGCTCGGGAGGGGGAGAAGCACAGGCTCAGAAATTCCTTGGTGGTAAAGTTCCTTTGCAATTACAACTCAAAATAAAAGACATTTCAAATATGATGTAGAACCCACTTATCTCTGCTTTCCCCAGCTCTTAAATGGGGGAATATTAACGGTGTTGGAGGAACTGTGGAGAAAATTGTGGGGAAATTCAGTTCTCAGTTCCAAGCAGTTTGTTTTGAGGTGACAGCCCTGGTTTCTCTGTAGGGTTGTATATGGACACAGCTCTAGGGTCAGCACTGTGACCTGGAGTGTGACTGGGGCTGTGTTTTACAGAGTGGAGAGTCCTCAAAGTGGTGCTCTTCCTTCCTTGTCACCATTTTAATTAAACCACAAAAGCAATTCCTGCAGAGGACAAAAGCCATCCTCCACCTCATGTTATTAAATACATTTGAGTGGATATATTTCTTGGTATTCTGCAATGGCTCAAGACAGAACTGAATAATGTCATGTAGAGCCTTACTGTTCTCTTGGGCAAAAACCAAGAGAGGAGGATCCCAAAAGCTCTGTCGTGTCTCTCTGCAGTGAATGCAAGAGTTTGGTGAAGCACACAGGAGGCTGTCACTGTGGAGCCGTCCGCTTTGAGGTCTGGGCTTCAGCAGACCTGCACGTGTTCAACTGCAAGTGAGTTGGTTTGTTCCCTGTTCCCAGAGATGCATGTCAGCTCTCTGCTTTTCCAACCTTAGAGCTAAAGATGAGACAGCTGCAGAGCAGCCTCTGAGCTGTTTCCACAGGATTTACCCCTAATTATGTCCTGACCCGCTATGAGATCAGTGTTGGTGATTTCAGGTGCTACTTTGGGCAGGGTTTCATGTCTCAGAGCCAGGCTCACACAGAAACTATCAGGAGAGATCTAATGAGTCCAGGTGCTCAGCCATCTGCTTTCAGTTTCCTCTCATGCAGGGGGCTCAAAGCACATTGGTCTTATTTTAACTTGTTCTTCTCAAGTGACATTACAGCTCTGACCACACGTGCCTCAAACTAGAACACTCTGGCTTCAGAAGTGACCCCTCTTTGCCTGCTTCCAGCTCATGGGTGAACTTCTGAACTTTATTTTCTTGTTTGCAAGGTAATGAATGTTGGCAAAATTGCCTAAGCATGCTCTGAACCACTGAGTGGATGTCTCAGGGCTAGAGTTTATCCTCAAGAGCTGTGTGTGAGAATATCTTATTGGGGTACCTGTGTAGGGTCAGTCTATTCACAGGTATGCTTGACAAACACTACTGACACCGCAAATCCACTTTTGCCACTTAGCTCTGAGCTGTTCTAGCTGTCAGGGGGATTTCTGTTGTCAAGAGGTCTGATTGCTGCTCTATAACCTGTCCACTTCTAGAAAAGTCTGCTTTTTCTTTTACAGTTGCAGCATTTGCACGAAGAAACAGAACCGACACTTCATTGTGCCAGCGTTGCGTTTCAAGCTGCTGCAGGTAGAGTAAGAACACAGGAGGAGCATGGCCATGAGCACGAGCAATGTTATCCTCACAGAGCCAAGAACAAGCAGTTTTCTGCCCTAGGTTTGGCTGGCTGGGGGAATGGCTGCATTTTAAGCTGCCTGGTGTGGTTGTTTTGGTGCATTTTGTGTAGAGCTCTTGCAGGTCCCAGGCCTGACTGTTATGGACATGTGTCCATACAAAGCACAGGGGTTCAGGAAAGCAGCAGGAATGCACAGCTCTGTATCTTAAGTAAAGAAAGGAAGGTGGCATTTTAAATTGTACATTTCTTAGCTACAGGCCCAAAGTAACGAATCCATCTATTTCCATGGAAAACTTACAGTGTTTTTCCTTTGCTCAGGGTGCTGACAACTTGACAACATACACCTTCAACACACACCGTGCCAAACACATGTTCTGCAAGACCTGTGGTGTTCAGAGTTTTTATATTCCTCGTTCTAACCCTGATGGTTATGGTAGGTACAAAGCAAGCTGTGCTAACCAGAGTTAACCACCAAGCAAACCTTGGATAAAGATTCCATTGGATGCTGACATGACAGCAGTGAGCAGCATGTGTCCTAAGAGTTTGTTCCTAAAGGAACTGCAGTCTGAACGTGTAGCTCCTCCTCCTCCAAAAAAAAAAAATCTTACCTATAATGTGTGGGCTTCTTCCTGGAATTGATTATTTATATGAGACAGGATTCTCATCCAGACTCCTCAGCCTTACAGCAATAGCATTTACAATTCCCTGAGATGCCCCAGCCATGGAATGGAGCAGGCATCTCCCACATTTTATGAAAAGTAGGTTTATTTGTACTCTGTTTTTCTTCAGGAATCGCTCCCCACTGCCTGGATGATGGCACTGTGCAGGTCATTATCACAGAGGACATCAATGGCAAGGAATGGGAGGAAGCAGTGAGGAAACATAAGACCATCAGAGACATGTCAAAACCCTGACACCCTTCCAGCAGCCTTGGGAGCACTGCCGTGGAACTTCAGTCTGGGGTTTCCTGGGTGATGCTTGGTGAAACCAGTCTACATTCCTGTTACCTGTTCTCTGTTTCTTAAATAAATCTTTCTATGCTGATTGCCCCGTTCCTTTGTGACATTCAGTTTTCAAACTGCCTCTGCTCTGTAAACCACTGCAGAGTTGCTAGTTTGGCACTTTGCCTTTAGTTGTGCTAAAGTTTAAGTCACAATACAAAAGACTTCACTAGAATCACTTGCACCTCATTCCTGTGTCCTGCTAAGACTCTTGTGAGTTGACCTTGAGCCCTGTTCTGAATCAAAAAGAGCTCATATTTCAGGAGGTGAAAGTAAAGGAGCCTGCAACACAACATGTATAAAAGAAGCAACAGCAAACATCAGTGCAATTAGTAAAAATTGTAGAATTTCTGATGTTTTATTCAAAAGCTCTGGCTTTTTAAAGTTTTGACTGAATAACAAAGGTGTTGTGGTTGTGCTATCTGTGGAGATAGCATAAGCTTTGAAAAGTTACTCCTGATAGCTGGATCTTACACAAGCACCAAGGGAGAGTTGCCAAGCAGTCCCTGCAGCTCTATCTTCTTGGGGAAACAATTTGTGCCATATCTTCTCCAATGCAGAATCCTCCAGAGCTTGGCTCCCAATTAAAGTTAATCCAAATTTCTCATTTTATTTAAGCTTCTATGAAAATAGAATAGCTGTTAACCCTGTTCTCAATGTATCAGGCAACAAGATATTTAGGAGGTTCACCCAGCCTGGGTTTTGTAGTGTGGAGAATGCCACACAAAGAGCACCCCATCCTGTTGAGCACCTAACACAGGAGCTTTCCTGAGTCCTGGGCCTGGGGCAGTGGTGGCTTTGCTCACTCTTTGCTCCTGTGAGTGATGTCCTGTCAGAGCAGGCGCAGGGAATTGACCACCAGGTAACGAGAGAAGAGCAGGTAGAGCCGGCGGAACCAGAGGAGCTGGCTGCGATGGCACTGCATGGCTCTCTAGGAGGAAAAACAGCACAGAGAGCATTACAGGAACCTTCTAGAGCTGCTGTGGGGGCACTTTCCTGCTCCTGCTGTGGGGCTCAGTGCCCATTGATAGGACAGCCTGTTTTCAGTGAGCAGGGAGAGGCAGGGCAGGCTGCCTAAGCTCTGGGCCTGTCTGCCCCTGAGTCTGGTGTTGTGCTGCCTGACTGTCAGAGGGTCCTGCTAGAAAGGACACCTTGTGTGTCACTTCTAACTCAGCCTCCCCTCGTGATCTGGGGGGAAGTGTTCACATGCTGGGAAGCAGGAGCCTGAGAAGTGAAAAGTGTGTCTGGGAACATCTCCGCTCCTTCTGACCACACACTGCCAGCTGCAACTGAGTCTGTTTATAGTGCACCAGCCTAGAAAGGTCAGATTTCTGGAACAAAAATATAAGGGAATAATGAACACCACCTTTATCCAAGCTGTTTCCATAAACAACTCTTATCTTTTAACAGTCTCAGAAGGAGTAAAAGTCTGTAATTTAGAATTAACAGCACTGTTTGCTGGGGAAATATTTTCATGCTATGGAAGAGCAGCTAATCAGATTCTAATATAGGGAACTGTGGGGTAAATGTGTGAGATCCTGTGCAGCAAAATAGTTTAAAAATATACAGTAAAGGGAACTTGTGAAAAGCTTTGGACCACAAGTTCACAGGCTGTCTCCATCTTTAGTGAGAGCTGTGATCCAAGGATGCTGTTCCTGGCATGCAGTCATGCCAGGCTTTAACAGGTCACTCACATGTTCAGAATACTGTGTTGGATCCAGTTTCCTTTGAAATGCATCCTTTGAAATGGATCCTAAATCGTGGAGAGTGTAAAACTCAGTGCCCTGTGACTGACTGAGCTGCAAATCTGCTCAGCCCTGTCCTGTCACAGGACATGAGGTAACCTGGCTTGTCCATGTTTCTAAAATCACTGCAGACATTCCTCAGTGACATTTCTAACCCATGGATGACACTCCTGGCATTCCCTGGGAATGTGACATTTGTGACTAAAGTGTTCACAATGAGAATGAGCCACTCAAACAGGCCAGGCAGGTGCCACACATCTCACCTTGGCTTGTTCAGTCTCCTCCTCTGTGAGGATGAAGAGTGCATCCGTGGGCAGGAGGCAGGAAATGAGGACATCCAGGAAGGAAATGTATTTCCTGCAGAGATTTACTGATTCCAGCACGAGCACACGGCACCCTACACAGAGAAAGAGAATAAATATTTCAAACCAGCAGCATTCTAGAAGGTGCTCTTTTCTCCAGGCTCAGCAGCTCTTTGCAGCTTCTCTGTGCTGCTGGCCTTGGGAATCTTTTTTGTGTAAAAGGGGAACAACTTCTGATGCTCCCTCCAGGATTTCTTTGTGCCCAGTGCACATCTATGACCATTTGTATGGCTCTTATTGTGTATGTGACCCTTTGTACTGGTTCTTGTTCTGTAATAGCCTGTGGAAAACGAAGCTAGCTTTGAATATTGCAAAAACTGAGTGTTTTTTTAATTTTTCCTGCATAATTAAGCTCAAAAAAAAAAAAAATAGGTGCAGATGATTCTCTGAATGCTGACACTGTATCATATAATGGAATTTTAAAACAGTAGTTTCTGGTTCAGCTACCAAAATGAAATTTCATCTTTCTATTCCCATTCTTAGCTACAGAATAAATATTTACAAGCCTCAGGAATAAAATATTAACTGAGGCAGGCAGTTACACTTTAACAGAGTTGCTGCATTCATTGTTCAGATGTTTGTGATGAAGCAGATGAACGCAACATGTTTCAAGATTCTGCTGATGTTGAAAGGGTTTTTTCTGTTTCAAAGATCCCTTTGAACTCAAAAGTTAATTGCTGGGGTTTTTTTACCATGGCTAAATTGTCTTCACAGATGAGTTCAGAGCTACTGATGGTCCCATTAAGAGCCTATAGGGAGCTCTAAAGGGAGCTGCTTTGGGATTTCCTTGGCTTGGAAGCTGCTGTGATTATGTTCCACACTTCCCACATTGTATTAAAGTTTGACAGAAGAGGCCAAAGTCACAGTTTACACAGGTGGGCAGAGATGCAATTCGATTTGCAATGAGATTTTCTCCAGTGAGCCCTGAAACAGTGAAATTACACACAGAAGAGACAGAACAAAGCTCTAATGGACTCCCTCTGGCACATCTCCAGGATCTTTCAATTCCTCTCTTTTTCTTTTCTCCAAGGGTGTTGTTCCAACTTTTCAACAGCCTCTCCCACTCTCCAAAGTTAACTGGTTATCTCTTCATTTCAGTACAACAGAGGGCTCCAAGGCCATAGTCCCCTTCCTTGGAGAGGACACTGGGAGTTGACTCCTTAGCAGGTCACACAGAGCATTCCCAGCAGTGATCTCCTCCTGCTGCGGGCAGCAAGGGGCAGGGGTAGAGCCCTCAAGGGCCCGAGCGGAGCGGCGGAACATCCGCGCTGGAAGCGGCGGAACATCCGCGCTGGAAGCGGCGGAACATCCGCGCTGGAAGCGGCGGGCGGTGCTCGGGAGCGGCCGGGAGGTGGCGGCGTCCGCCGGCCGGGGAGGGGAGCGGGCAGCGGGACCCGCATCCCTGCCTTCGGAACCGCCTGTGGCCGCCGTGCCCCGCCGCAGCCCGGCCCCGCAGGGTCACGGAGCGGCGCTGGGCAGTGCCGAGCCCGCGGGACGTGCGGGAATGCGGCGGCTCGGGAGCGGCACGGCCCCGACACTTCCTGACCCGAGCCCCTGTCCCGCTCCCAGCCCGCCGGGACAAGGGACAGCAGAGCTGCTCATCAGTCCCAGCTGCTCTCCCGGGGGATGCTCTGCAGGCACAAGTGCTGCAGTCGCTCACAGAAGGGCCCTGACACTCCTTTAATCCCACTTGGAGACGTTTCTTGTTTGCAAACAGCAAATTTGGAAGGAAACCTGTGATGTGCCGTCAGTAGGGGAACTATTCTTCCCCTTCCTCTGCAGAGATCCTCTAGTACAGTGCTGCTCTCAGCATTTCCAGTGGCACCTGTTTGTTTTTCAAACACGGGACAATGATCTTTCCTTTCCTGGATGGATTTAATGGACTCTGGCAATGCCTATACACTAATTCCTACTCACAGTGATGGGAAGAGAGGCCTGGCACCACTCTCTGAAGCTTGGGCTGCTCTGTTAACTAAATGTGCTCTCCCTTTCCTCAATTTTTCTTCCCTGAGAAATACTAATTTGTGCAGCAATTGCACCCTTTTGTTCCCAAAGCTCAGCAATAAGGACTCAAAACCATGGCAAGTGATTTCAGTGTGGATGGCTCTGACCTGCTGGGTCCTCCTCGGTCAGATCAGGTGAAGTGGTGGCATCCAGCTCCCCAAAAAGAAGGGCACTGTGAGAGCTCTCTGTGTCAGTGATCCAACCAGGATTTCCATGTGCTGACAGCAAAGCCTGCTCTGCATGGCAATGTGAGATGAAATGAGGCAGGGAAGGAATGTACAGTCCAGGGAGAGATGGAAAAGGGTTCAGAGAAACAGGCTGCTCCCTGCCAAGCAGGGTGAGAGCAGTGCTGCCATTGAGGAGTCCTGTGACACCAGCAGGTGAAGCTTTTCAGAGCCTGCTGTGCCTGTGACCTGGGCAGGATGGGATTAGCAGTGTAATGCAACCTCTCCAGGTTGGCAGAAAGGGCAGGATCAATATAGCTCATGGATTAGGCTGAGAATAGAAGTGTGTGAAGCCTGCAGCCTGCTCAGCTTGGCTTTCCACTTCCAAATCACTCAGGCAGCAGGGATGCCTAGAATGAGGAGCTCCTGAGTGAGCACTGTGTGTGCTGCAGGCCTGCACTGCTCCTGATGGAAGGAAGCACAGGTTCTTTTGGAAGAGCACTGGTTATAGCTGGAAGAGGCCAGTGGCAGGGTGGGAGCACATCCAGCAGTTGTCTTGGCTTCTTGAAACAAGTGCTTGTGCCTGGGCTGGAGAACTTGATTACAGATTATAAAAAGCCTGTTGTGTTTGTGCTGGCTAAAGGCATTAGAAAGCAAAGCAGGATATTTAGGGTGCTCATTTGCATATCACTGAGGCAATGCAAGGCTTAGCTGGCTTTTGCATTTGCAGGGAGATTTTCTGTGGATTCCCTGATCACATGGGCTTACACAGGCTCAGCCACAAACAGCTCTCTCTTCTCAACAGCAGCACAGCACTTTTCCATGGCGTGAACATGCCTTTCAGCTCCATCCAGACCGCCTCAATCCCAGCATCACCCTTGTTTCATTAAGCCCCTCTGATGCACAGCCCTGCACGGCTGCCAGATCAAATTATAAATACTGGGAATTTCAATGAGACTGGAACTATATTTGGAAAGGCTTAGCATAAGCAGCAGCATGGGAGCTCCCCGTTCTTTGGTGTTTGTAGGTCATGTCAGACGTGATGTAATCAGAGCAGCAAGGCTTGCACAGAGCTCCAGCAGCCTCTTGATGCTGCTGGAGAAATGGAAATGTTCTCTGGATATGGGTCTGCTTCAAACCTGTATGGATTTGAGGCACAGCCTGTATTCAGGACCAGAGTGAAACCTGCATGAGCAGCACATGAAAATGGCTCAGTGTAGATGGGGCCTGACAGCCAGCAGTGACATCAACCACTGCAGCCCCTTGTCCTTTATGCTGCACACAGCTCACAGAGCTCTGCTGCACCCCAGGGCTGAACAAAGAAAAGGTCCTAGGAATGAAGCTGGCACTAATACTCCTCTTTCATGAACTGGGAAACTGAAGGGACCGCAGTCAGAGCTCAGCTTAAGGGCATTCTGCCATCTTGGCTCATGCTGTCTCATTAGGCCTGCAGCTTCCTGCTAGGAGAGAATTAAAACTGATTTGCTGTGACTCATTCAAATCCTACAATGATTTGGGAATTAGCATTAAAGGAACACAGCCTGGATGGCTGCTGAGGGAGCAGGAGGTTGACTGGGTGGGCCTGGCTGAGCCACCTTCCTATGCTCTGTCCAAACAGCTGAGTAACAGCTTTGTGCTTAAACGAGGTCCACACATTTGTCCCTGGGCAGGCACTGTTTGCTAGAGATAAGGGCTGCAGCTCTACTCTAGAAAAGGGGTCAGGAGCTACCTCCTTCTGTGCTTTGTTTCTTTCCTTTCCCTACTTGTACAGAGAATTTCTTGGAGATTCTTGCTCACAGGTGGAAGAAGCCACTACAGTTTGTTGTGCCACTGCAGATTTCAGATTCCTTCCTGAGCACAGTTTGGTGGAGGCTTAACTTGCTACATGCAAATATTTTTGGTTAAGTGGGTCATCATTTCTGAGGCTTTTGTCATAGAAAATGATTGCTCTTTTGTAAGCAAGATGTGACCAAAAACTCTGTGACTAGGCTGAGGGATCTGGAAAGAGCACTCAGATTCACCCAAGAAGCACAAGGCCAGACACTGCATCACACCACTGAGGCAGGACAACCCCAAGGGACTGAAAAGTGACTGTAGAGAAGCCTGAACTGGTAAAAAAAAATGCAGGAAGATAAAAGTTCAGCTGTGGGCTTCATCTGCAGTGCAGGGGTGAGTTTGGGCAGCTGGAACCCTGGACACAACAGAGACCTCAAGGACTGCAGGGTGGGGATGGGAGGTGGCAGGGGAGGTGATGGACTCCTACCTTCAGGTAACTTCCCCTCTGAATGCAGGTACCTGTGAAAGAAGAGATACAAGGGGTCAACACTCAGCGGAATTACTCAAGCCCTGATTTTACAGGAATAAAACCCTGCACATTAAACCAAGCCTTTTCATCTAACACACAGAGACAATGGCCAATCTTGTGAGAAACTTCAGGAGCTCACACTGGTTGCACCTCAGGCAGGGCTAAGCCTGCTTCCCCACACTATTCTGCCATTCCTTTCCCCATCCTGGCTGCTGGGACATACCACAAATAAGCTCCATAAACCAAATTCACTCTCAGACTTCCCAAGGGAAACCCCAGAGGCTGCCAAAGGCTGCTCACCCCTGGGAGCACCTGGGGCTGTTTAAAGCCCAGGCTTTGCTGGCCAGGGGCACTGTCTCAGCAACTGCTCCTCTTTGGGCACCAGTTCTTTCTTTCTAACTCAGGCTGGCACTGGGACATCTGAGAAGCTGCTCTGGCTTTTTGCTCACCAAGACTTTGATCCCTTCATGACTTTGTCCTGTAGCAAAACAGAACATGAGGACCAAGGATGAGAGATGTGAATGGTGATGGCACTTCCATCAGGAAATATAAGCAAATGACCCTGGGATGGTGAGGACATCAGGGGGTGCTCATTTCAATTCCTTTCCTAATTATCTTGTTTTTCCTGCTCATGGCTTTGGAGCCATCCTGGATCTGGCCCACGGCAGGGCTGGGAAGCAGCAGGTCTCCAGCAGATGGCACTCAGGGCTGTCCCACACCCAGTCCTGCTCTTCCAGGAGAAAAAGACATCCAAACAATGGAACATTTGCCAAAAGGAGAAGGAAAATAATAATAATAAAAAAGTTATTTAACCCTGTGTAATATTGAAAGAGATTGTTATCACCTAATAGTGGTGTATCTGACAAAGGACAATGTGCCAGTTCATGTGTAAATCAGCCAGGATAAAACATGCATTATATGTAAACTGCTGTGTTTCTCCAGTCACTTTCAAACTAGGATTATCTCTGGCTGTTGGTTAAGTTCAAGGAAAAGGATTAGCTACACAGGCCTAGACAAAATAGGAAGTATGGAGTGATGAATACTCAATGCAATACAAAGCAAAAGTCAAGCCAGAAATGCAGGTCATGACAGAACTCAAACAGCAATCAGAAAACATATTTAAACAGATTCTCCTGGCAGTGGTGTCCTCTGCTCCAGAGCCAAAGCAATGCCATTTCCTACTAAACAATGGCCTTGGAATAGTGACTTGGCCACCTTCTGTCCCACCACTCAAGACTTACTGCTCTGACAAAGTCTGTTAAATGTTGCCTTGTAATTTAAATATCTCTGTTAATATCTGCTCTGCTCTTCTGCCAGAGGTTTCTTGCCCCACAAGTGGAATCTGGCCACCCAAAGAAATTATTCAGCACTTGGTACAGTTAGTAGGGTGGGAAACTTTTAGAATAAGCTTGGAGAGATAAAGCAGTGAGTGGTTGTGAAATTTGGCAAACTCTAAAAGTCCAGTGTCTGTTCTGGGTGTGCTGCTCTGCCACGGAGGCGTCTTCAAAGCCCTGAGTTGCTCTAAGAGGGAACTAAAAATAACCATTCCTGTCACTAGATACAGGAGTGAGAGACCCAGCTCATATGGAAACGATTCAGCAGGAGCAGGGAGCATCTTCAGCAGGGAAGAAAAGTCTGATTCAGCAGTAAATTAAGGAGTTTGTGCTTGTGTAAAGGTTCAGGGAGACTCAAGCTGTGTTTGCTTACTGAAAGGTCCTCAAAGTGGTGGCCAGCAGACCTGCCACTCATCTGGAAAAACAGGCATGAAGAAACTGCATCTCTCCTCATCCTTTTTGTCCCAATCCAAATGCTTCAATTCTCAGCAAGGCTCAGTGCAGAGCCCTGGGAACGGGCTCCACCCAGCTCTGTGTGCAGAGGAATTGCAGCCTTGCTCATTTGTATTTCTCTGTGGTTGCAGAGAGAGAGAGAGAAACACGAAGCTCTACCTCCTGCACACGCTCACAAAATGAGCCAATCCTCTCCCAAATCCATCTTCTCACTCCCATCTCCACCCTGCTGGAGCGTCTCCATGGGACACTTCCAAGTAGGGGAGAGGTTGCAGCTCTCAGTTGTTGCCATTTTGGGAATGTTGTTTTATAGATTGGACTTGCTGTGGTTTGGTCGAAATGAAAGAGTTTGGCATAAAATCTCAAAAAGCAAAACACAGGCTCTTTTTCAGGAGATTTTTCCATGTGGGTGTTTTGTTTTTTCTTCCCGGAGAGACTTTTTATAATCCTTTTTAAACAGAAAGTGACCTAAGGTGGTTTGTTCCCACCCACTGCCCAGGTGCCAGAGCCTGGTGATTACAGGACACCTCTCCCTGCACCCTGGTATGCCTGTGGTAGCTTCAGGTCCACATGTGAGACCCTCTGCCGTGAAGAATTTGGGAAGGCCATGAGACATCCAAAGGCTCCAATCATTTCTGCCCTCCAAGAACTCAGCCCCAGCTCCTCCCTCATGGCCCAGCTGCTTTGAAATCTCTGCAGCCACCAGCTCCATCTGCTCAGCAGAAACACTGAAATGGCCCAATGCCCTCACCCAAACTGCAGGACTGAGCTGGCTCCCAAATTCCCTGCCTTTACTCAGGCATCTTCAGGAAAGGTGTGCATGGGTCAGCTCCTCTGTGGCACTAACCAGTGAAATCTCCCAAGCTGTTCCAAGAAGGAACAAGTCAAGATGGAGCTGAAATCTCAGTCCTGGAGAGCACAGGACCCCTCTGGGGCTCGTGCCCACGAGGGTGTATTACAGTTTGGGTGATGTTCTGTTTGATGACAGGTTGTTCATCGAATTCAATGACTTCACTCTCCAAAACCCTTCACTGAACTGACTGCTGGCTGCTATGGAGCACTGGGGAAATCCAGTTTTGAAGAGCATGGCAAAGAATCAATGTCTTAAAGCTGCACTGGGGCTCCATTTAGGATCCCAACCTCTAATCTGCCCAATTAATCTGATGAAACAGATGTGAAGGAGGAAGAACAGGCAGTCTCCTAGGAATCACAAAGACATTAGAAGGATATACTTGCCAGATGTTGGATGTTTGCTCTCTGGAATGCCTCCTCCCTCCCTAACTGGATTTTCTGGCTCCATTTCCATGCACCCTGAACTACACTGTGGAGCAGCACTTTGTACAACACTACTCAGGCACTCTGTACTCACACATGGGACAGTGACAAAAGATGGCTCTGCCAGTGGCAATGCAGAGACCTTCCAGCTGACAGAGCTGTCCTGGCTCTGTGCTTTGGGCCTGGCACTGTCTGGGAGAAGAATGTGCAGTGTCACTGCTCCCTTCACTGCCAGCAGCCCAGTGACACAGGGAAGGACAGCCCCTGAGGGTGTTTCTTTGGGGAAAAAAACCTTCTTTAGGGGGAATCCCTTCTGTGCTGGTGCTCCATGCTCAGCTTTAATCCTAATGGCTCTCAACAATGTCATGGAAGGACACTGGGATGAATGAACTTGGTCAAATGAAGGAATGATGGAAAGGGATAAAGGAATGAGATAAAATCTAGAACTACATATCCAGCTATGGGATATATGCCAGGGCAGAGAGCTTTGAGGGGAAGTCTCAAGGATAGACAGCAGAGTACAATTCTGTCTCAGCCTTCTGGGGACAGTCTGGCTGCAACCACAGCCATCACTCATAAGCTCCCCCAGGACATTTAAGATCAGTAAAACAAGTGAGAAATGCACAAGCTGTAGCTGCTGAAAGGAGGGAGAGATCTTCCAGCCCCACACTATAAGAAGGCACCAAATAAAAACAATAAATGGACTATCATTCACTGTTACCAAGCTAATCACCCAAACCCAGCTTTCTCCCTGTCCTTTAAGACCTGGCCTTGGAAATTCAACAGAAACTCACAGCAGAACTGTGCTTTGTTGGGGTGGGATGCAGTTGGTGGCCTCTGAGAATGGCTCCCACCAAGTGGGACTGGTTGGACACTGCTCTGCTCATTGTTTCCATACATGGATTTGCAGCTGGCATTTAACCAACCCTCCTCTTCCAGGGAGCCTCAGTGCAGCCCTTCTGCACAATGGCCATGGCATTCAGGAGTGGGGCATTCAGTGGCCAGGCTGGGACATGGCAGAGCAACAAGGCATTGGTGGCACTCAGGCTGCATCCTCATCCACTGCTGAGTGATAAAGCTCCCAAATATTATCTCTGCACGGCCTCATTTACAACCTGCCACAGAGCTGGTGAATGTTAAAAAAACATCCTGCAGGACTGAGAGGTGTTTTTCCAAATGGAATTGACGAGAATAGGCTCAGCTAATGATTCCTTGATGTAGCTTTTTATATGGCATCATTGATAGAAGTTTTATGGATGCAGTTGCTATAACAACATAATGCACAGTGGTTAAATATAGCAGCTCCTATTTTCCACTCAGTTTGCTCTGCCCTAAGCAGACAAGACTATTCTTTTCTGTTCTAGCTGGGATAAAATGGATTTGATAGCTCACTAAAGAAAACAAGTGATACAGTCCTTCCTCCTCCTCCTCACAAAGATGATTCCTCTCCATCCTAAGCAAGCAAACAACAAAGCCAACCCCAAAGCCCCCCATCTGCCAGGCTCCTGGGCAAGAGGGGCTGTTTAAAATCAAAATGCACAGTGACTCATGCAAAACTAAACCACCTTGATATTGCATGTGATCTCAGTGCAGGCACTGTCATTTCAGAGTGCAGCAAAGAGAGGTTCTCCAATGTTCCCACCACAGAGTATTTACCAAGCTCATTGCCACAGTGCCCAGTGACTGGCCTAATGCTGAGGGGGGATAAAGTCACCTGGCTGTCACTCAAGACTGGCTCTTCCTTGAGGATGAGTGTAAAGGATCCAACCTCCCATGGCCACAGGGAAAGCTCCTGTTTTGGGGGATAAAAGAGGATGATGTTGCCAAATCAAGCTACAGAAGATTGCTTCCAGTCCTCCCTGCTTTGCTGCAGTGGGTTTTTCTTGGGTTTGGGTTGGGTTTTTTTTCTGTCTGGAAGTCAGAACTGAAATGCTCCCAGGGGAGACTGAAATCAAATAGTAATTTGTGTTCCTTTCCCATCCTGTTTTTTCTTATTTTTCCCTTGCAGAAGAACAAATCCATCCTTGAACCTTGGCATTTCCCAGTTCCTCCCAGATCTGAAGGCCAGGCAGGCACACAGCAGCAGCTGGACTCCTGCAAGCTGTCAGGAGGAAGGCTGCTGCAAGGGAAAGAGCTCATTTCTTCTGAGTAGTTCCTGCTCCTTTGAACATAACCTCTGTTCCAGACACTGGAAAGAATATTTATGCCCTTAGCAGACAACACTGAGCATCTGCTCAGCTATGACCATTTCCTGAACTGTTTTATTCCTTGAAGCTGTTCAATAATTTGCATGTGAAGTGAGGAGCTGTGGGAGGGGTCACAGAGCCGGTTCCACCCCTGCTCTTGCAGAAAGTAATTTCATGGAAGTGGGCACAAGCCTGTCTCCCAGAGACTGGGAGCATCCAAAAGAGCTGAGGAACACTGCACCAGCCCCCTGCTTCATCCTTTCCTCCACTTTTCACAGTGGAGGCAGAATCCTGCAGGACTTGTTTAAAGATGGTTAATAAATACATTGCAGATGATACCTGGAGGGGAGAGGTCGTTTGCCTTTCTCTTGCCATGTAGCACTGGGGCCCCAGGGGCAGCCACTGCTGCTCTGCAGAGCTCTGCTGGCACAGGGGGACAGGAGAAGCCTCAGTTTATGCTTCCAGAGCTGCCTGTACTGGCCAACATGTGAGAACTCATCAGGGCACTGAGAGTCAGCAGTGATACAGTCACGCTCTACTTCCTCCATAACACAAACTGAAAAATAACGAGGGCAAGCAAGCCACTAAAAATAAACTTAACCTTTCAGCAGCCACGGCATCACTCCTGCCACATGCAGATGATGGGGCTACCATGATTAATTCTGCTGATTCAGGACTGGAAGGGAGACAAGAGACAAACCAGCCCTTAGTTAATGAGAACTGCTTGTGCTGGTGTCCCTATCAGCATGGATCTCATCAGCCCAGATAATGTTCTGCTCCAGCTGAGGGCCAGTGCAAAGCTCTGGGTTCAAGGGAGTTGTAGACAATGAGCATTTCCTGGTAACATACCCTGAGACAAAAAGAGGGTTAGATCCCTACTGCACACACAGGAAACATAAAGCATTAAGGTGGGAAAGTGATTTCTGCACAGCCACAAGGTAAGACAAGAGTAGAACTGGGATCAAAATCAAGAGTTTTGCTTAAGTATCTCATATATAACTCAGCTGCTAGCTTGTTTTCCCATGATCTCTTCAGAGTGGAGGAGGACACCTAACAGCCTGCCTTTCATTCCTCTTTGTGGGTCATAGAACAGTTGAGTGAGCAAACAGAGGTCCGGGCAGCTGGAAGCTCTTTAGGCCCTCTGTGGAAATAGTGTGAGCATTGGTCATCAACCTCTGCTCCTGAGCCATCAGCCTCTGCTCAACCTCTGCTCCTGAGCCATCAGCCTCTGCCCAACCTCTGCTCCTGAGCCATCAACATCTGCTCAACCTCTGCTCCTGAGCCATCAGCCTCTGCCCAACCTCTGCTCCTGAGCCATCAGCCTCTGCCCAACCTCTGCTCCTGAGCCATCAGCCTCTGCTCAACCTCTGCTCCTGAGCCATCAGCCTCTGCCCATCCTCTGCTCCTGAGCCATCAACATCTGCCCAACCTCTGCTCCTGAGCCATCAACATCTGCTCAACCTCTGCTCAGTCCTCAAACTGTGCCTGAAACCATTTCCCCACCCAGCCCAAACAAAGCACTGCTTGCTTTAACTCCACCCCCTCTCCTCTGTTAGGCAGTTCCAGAAATTGCTGGGAAAAGCCATGATCCCCCTCTAACATTGAATCCCAGCCATCAAAACTCTCAGCATCTTCCCAGTATGGATTCTGTGGCACTGCAGCTTTCTCTAGGCAAGTGAGAAAGGCAAATCACTGTGATGTTGTCAGTAAGGATAGCCAGAAGAATTTGTTTATTTGAATTGCACAGATGATTCAGAAAACAAATGGGTGCTATAAATACAAAGCTATACTTGCAAGGAGTTCTTCTCATGCCTGGGAAAGGCAGGGGCAGCTCTGGATAGACACAGTAAGGTCTGAATGAGCAGAGGGTTAAAGTAAAATACAGTGGCTGTCTCGCCAGCAAAATTTGAGTGATTTTAATAAAGGGATTTTTGTCTTTTAACCTCCCCATCACAACATGGAGACACAGGGTCACAGAATGTAAGGAATAAAATGGTGAAGAAACTAACAGACTATCCCTAAAAATGGTAAATAGGGACAGCTCCAGTGAAAGAGCAATATTCTTGGGGCAGAGAGGTAAATTCAGGTACCTGGACAAGATGGCAACATCCTCTGGTGAAGAACTTTCCAAAACCCACCTGCCACCAGCTCAGGCATCAGGTATTCACACGCTCCTCAAAGCAGAAGTGCAAAGTGATCTGTGTCATATTTTAGTGGGATCAAGAACAGGAAGAGCAAAGAGGGCCCAGTGAAAGGGAGACTGGCAAGGTCCCAGCAGAGGGAACACTAAAGGTGCTGTAGGTTATTTCCAGACAGTGTCATGTCCCACAGCCTGGCACTGAGCTGGAGCAGTGAAGTGAACACTGCCCTGGTTCTGCTTCCACAGCAGCACCACCATGGCCCTGCACCAGCCCAGGGAGCATCCAGAGAAGTCTGCAGACATTGTACCTGACAGCAGAGTGAAGAGAGATGTGGTTGGCGTGGCCACTCACTCCTCCTGCATCAAACGTCACCACCTGCAATGGGCACACACAACAAGAAGCATTTAGGAGCAGGAGGAGGAGCCTGTGCAGTTCCCAGATTTGACATCCAAGCCCTGTCCCAGCCCGCTGTGTCTAACGAGTTGTTTATGTATTGCACAATGAGGCCTTGTCTGTGAACTCCTCATGCCACAGAAACACAACCAAACAAACAAGGCACTCTGGAAGCAATGACTGCACAGCCCAACAGCTTGAACAACAGAAAGATGACAAAGATCGTGTCCCCACTGGCAGGATGCACTTGTTACTTATTACCAGGGCAAAAGGTCACTTTCAAAGTGATCTGTTGCAAATGTGTTCCTGACCCGAGAGGTCCAGCTCTATGAATCACTCTCTCCTGGATCTGAGAACATCCTCCAGTGCCTGTGGATGACAGGGTGAAGCTATGGTTTGCTGTGCTGTCAATCAGGACATTGCTGCAACATGAGCCACACAAGCATGTATGATTTTCCTGTTCTGATAGGAGAAGAAGCTTTTTAAAATAATCTGAATGCACTTTTGTACAATCAAATTAGGCTTTTCACTGAATTAGATACTATTGTTAATTGATTCGCTGCAGGGAGAAATGGGAACTCCAACATGCAGAAGTAATGTGTGAACACAGCACTGACCAGGCACTGTCCAGAGCACAGAACAGCCCTGCCTCCCTTCCCTAAACCACCAAGAGTGTGTCAGGGCTGAGGCATCACCCTGGGGACCTCCTCTCTCTGTGGGGCTGTGCAATGGGCACTTAAAGGCTCCCAGTTCCAACCAAGCAGCCAAACTGGCAGCACAGAGTGTGGAGTGGACAGGGAATGTGTGCCCATCCTCTTTGCAGGGAGGGAAAGTGACAGTCCCTGGACAGTGCAAAGCCCAGTGCTTGCTCTGCGAGAGGCCCGGCAGCAGAGCTCTCCACAGCTCCCTTCTCTGGGACCAGGAAGAAATCATCAACTCCCACGTTTCAGGCAACGTTTGCTTCCTTGCCAGCTTGTTCTCTCTTCAGGGAAGGAAATGCTGCAGCCTGGCTCACTCACAGCACCTCCCTTCCCAAAATCTATTTTATATGCAGGGCCTGGAGCACTGGGTTAGAGATCAGGGGAAGATCAAAAGCCACCATGCCTGTCCTGCAACTTGTTCCTCCAGCAGGAGAGGCCCTCTCAGCCAGGGGATATTGAGTCAAGAGGGAGAGGAAACACACAGGCAGTGATAAGAAATACTTCAAAACCCACAAATTTCACATAAGCCTGCTCATAAACCCACCCACCCAGGACAAGCCCACAGTCAGACTTTCCTCTTTGCCCAGTGGCTGCCAGCAAGCACCAGGTTGCTCTTTGCTGGCAGGAACTGGTGGGGCCATTGGTTTAATTCACATACAAAGAAGGGGTTTTTGGTCAACCTTTATTTTATAAGGAGAAGAAGGATGTGTTTAACTTTGGCTGCTGCTGCATATCAGCGCTAGCAGAGGGACGTGCAGGGCCATGGGGCTGAGCCCTCCCCATGGATATCAGCTTGTGGAGAAGCTCATCTGGAAACACACAAAATTCAGCACAGCTCAGGGTAAGCACAGCACCCTAGACTTTACAGATAAGAAAAAAACCACACTCTGAAGTCACTCCTACTTAGAGAGGTACTTCCCTAAGATGACAACATACCCCACTCATTGCAGGCAGAATAAATTCCTGTTCAGGTGAATAACAGTGGGAGTCTGATAAGGGCTGGACTTGAACTGAACCTTTTTACTCAATTGGGACAGAGAGAGTGTTTGTCTTGTCTGCCTGCCCCCTGATTTTCATGTAACTTGTACAAACAGAACATTTTTAAGAGCAGCACCCTGCTGTCAAACGTGGTTGAAATTAGCCAATGGGCTCTAAAGTCTTTTGAAACATGCATGTGCATATACATATAAATACAACTGCATTATTCCTGTTTCCTTAAGAAATCAAGCTAAAAACTCCAGACAAGCCAAAACACACATTTTTTTTCTTCTGTGGAGGTTACAAGAGAACAAACCAGAAGACTGAGATAAGAGACTTCAGTGAGCAGACTAAATAAACTAATCATTGTTTTTACAAAACTGGCTTGGGCCAACTGTGGGAGCAACAAGGCTGGATTAGGAAATATTTTTGACATGGGAATTATCTAGTCAGTAACACCTTTGGAGGTTTTCCTTCTCCACATCTGTTTTGAAATAGAAGCTGCTGAGCTTATGTAATGTCTGAACACACTGAAGAGACTACACAAAGCCCATTTTCAATTACTGTAGTCCAGTTTACTGTTATTGCTTACTGAATTGCCTGTCTCTTCAAATAAAGGAATTTTTTAGTACAATTCCCAAGGTATCTGCACAGCGACTTGGCCAAGGTGGCATTGCCTTTGTTTGATCCCTCTCAGCACACATCTGGCTCTGGGACAGCAGGGATGTCCCACCCTAAATATATCATATATCATCTAAATATCTATGTAAGTCATCTAACGGGGCTCTGATTCCACAGCACCACTGCGCTGTTCGTGACTTAAAACAAGCAGCAATCACATGTAAATCAATCCCTCTGGCTTGAGGGATTCATTTCATTGATAAGGAATTTGAATTTCTTTCTCACATGCTGAAGATATTTTCACACGGGAGCGTTTGCCCCTTCCATACAGTGCAGCTCCTGCTGTGCTGGCTTTTAACTCCAACCTGAACCAGGCTGATGATGAAATCAAGCAAACAATCAGGACAGGATGAGAAAACCTGAACATCTTGAAAGTGTCTGGGTTAAAAACAGGCTTAGCCAGTTCTGGGAGCGAAAGGCTGGGATAGTAAATATACTTCATGTGGAAATTATTGCTCAATGAAATCTTTAGGGCAAGAGGGAGTTCCCTCCCCACACCTGTTCTGAAATGGGAGCTGCTGCTGTTGCTGGCTTTTCTTCTGGGTGACCTTGGTATTCAGGAAATGGAGCTTTCACTGGTGGAAGCCAGAGCAGCAGCCAAGACAAACAGGTCCAGAAATCCCTTCCGGAGAGGGGAGAGCACAGAGGAAATTACTCAATTACCAGCAGAAGAGAAAACTCCTGAGAGGTCTGGAGTCCATGATCCCTCCTCACACCTCAAAGCTGAGGTTCTCCTCCTCTCTCTGGTGTCAAACACAGCACAGATCTGCTGTGGGGACACAAAGGTCTCTGCTTTTTAACAACAGCCATCCCTTAAAATGCCACAGCAAGCAACTCCACTTCTCATGGCCTTACCCTGAGCATCTCTCCTTGCACTCCCAGAGGCCAGGGAGATACCAGCTCCCTTTGAGTCTCTTCTGAGTTTGGAGATATCTTTTATGTCTGATTTAGGAGCAACAGGAGCCTGCCTGGAGCTCACACAATACTGTGTAACTTCTTTTTTTACACACCAAACACTTTCTATTCTGGATCAAGACAGAGCAGCCTTGGCTGCCTCTCCCTGCAACACTGACTTTTGCTTGGAAATCTAGCAGGCAGGAAATAATTCCCAAAGTCTATAAATTAGTTTTGGCTTTGAGTACACCAACCATTAATTTCCGTGTCTGCACTATTTAATGTAGAGCTTGGATGAAATATGTCCCTGTAGCTCCCAAAAAGATTGAGCTACTCCTGGACTTCCAGGGCAATTGAACAAATGAGTAACCATGTAATGGAAGGAAACTACACAGAATACGTGGGACTCCTTGCCTTGCAATCCTTCCTTTCAGACATGCTGGAACTGCAGCCCCTGCTCCACTGCCAGATGGCACACAACATGTTCTGTAAATAAAGATAATAAAGATACCACTGTCGATGCAGTGACTACTGGGAGAACTGGGGAAAGTTTTCCCACTGGGATAGCTACAACAATACACACCCTCCAGTCATGCTGACTCCACTGAGTTGGTCTGAAACTCTGTTAGTTCTTGGTTTTTTCAACATGTTCAGCCAATTCTATCCATTTCAACATTAGTGAAAAATGGACTCAGTTTACCTTTCAAGGCAAGGCTGTTGGTTTAGGACAGCAGAGATATCTTAGAGAGCAAGCTCTGAAGTTTTAAATTGCAGGATGTTTAACAAAGGTAATTACGTTCTTCTCTCGCTGTTGTTGGCAAATTCAGTCTGCTCCTAAGTGAATGTTATTACAGCAAACACCTGAGAGCTGTGTGATTGCTTGGGACACTTCAAATAATGAACATTTCCAGAGCAGTTCATTACCAGCAGCCCTGAGAAGGTGCTGCAGCTGCCCTTGGTGCTGCTGCTGCGTCCTGCTGCAGTGATCTGTGCTCAGTGACCATGCCCAGGAGTGTTTCCTGCTCTGCAAACCCCACATTTCCCTGCTCAGCTCTGCTCTATCAGTGGCAGATTCCAGCCTCCTCTAGCACAAACAGCTGGAGTTTAATTTTTCCCAGGGTAAAGATCTAATCCCTCCTAACCATCCAGAGGAGTCCTGGTGTTTTCAGAATTTCTTCTGGGGTTTTGGTGCACTTGTCCCTGCGCCCCTGAGAGTCACAAACATGCAATGCAAATCCTCCTGTGTTTGGAGCTTTCAGATTAGATTAAAACCTATCTATTCAGAGGGCCAAAAGGCACAAAAGGAGTCCAGGAAAACTGCATTTGTCTCTGTGCACAGCAATGAATTTCATGGAAAATTAGCCTCAGAATCAATACAAAGTTGGATGCATGATGCTGGTTTTGAGCTCGTGGGGCTTTCATGCTGCAGGAGACGTGGTTTCTTGTTTTGTGAAGTGCTGAAAGGCTTTGAGAGTTTCGTGATTTTGCTGTTAATCAGTGTGTGACAGTGCCATGCCTGATCAAAGCAGGGTTCAACAGAGAAGAACAGAACACAACCCTTTCCATGCTTAGGCCCTTATTCCTGTTCTGTGGGAAAAAAACCCCAAACTATTCCAGTGTCAGGAAATCTCTCAAGTTAATATTCTTCAACCCTAACCTATAACCCTGCTAGTCAAGTTGTCTAATACACATCTGCCAATGGGCTTCAAATCTAAGCCTAAACCTAAGCCTAAAGCCCAAATTGGCGCTCTCCATCACATGGCTACTTTAAAATACAGAAACACTCATGGTTAGAGTTAGAAAAGTGAAATTCCTCCACTGTTCATTTTTCACTGGGAAGCAAAGAAAGCTCTCCTGAGAGAGAAGATACATCCTAACCTTAGAGACTGCAAAGAAAGCTCCCAGAGGGAAAGGCAAAGGCCAGAACATTAGCTCAGGAGTAATGTGGCAATTGCCTGTGCTGCAGAAAGTGTCACATTACCAGGTTGATGTTCTTGGCTTCTATGTGCTTCAGGACAAGGGTGGCCAGGAGCTGTGTGTCCCACTCCACAGCAGGATCATCCGGAAGATCCCTGGAAATGAGAAGGGCCATCAGTCACTTCACTGCTGAGAACTTTGTAAAGACCACTCTGGAAAAGAGAGATCATCTTAATCACAGAATGAAATCAAGACACATTTATTTACCATATAAAACCACCGAATCTTACTTTAGAGTCTTACAAGTTTGGATACGTGAGGGTTGAAAGAGAAAGAGCAGTTCCAACACCCTTTCCTCTTACCATCAAGGCAGACTCTGTGATTGCTTTACCTCAAGCAACATCTATTTTGCTACTTCTTTTTCTTAATTTATCCCAATCAAATTTAAAACCCCTTTAAAAACACATTTTTCTGAAAGACTTCCCAATCATTATCTACTGGTGAATTACACTGGGAAGGTACCAAGCAAACTCCTGCTGTCATTTATTCAGGAATAATCCACTAACCACAACCAGAGGACAGTAGAGTTGTAATTATATGGCTTGGATTTGATAGTAGCTGTTCATGTGTTTACTTTGTGCTTTGCATACCCAGCTGGTATGCAGTATACCCAGAGCATACTGTGACTGAACTCCCTGCCTGGGTATTTTGGATTGCAGGACTCTAGGGGCAGGGACCATGAGCCAAATGCAAAATAGCACTAGACAGCCAAGAGAACATTCCATATTTACACAACTGAGAGCTGAATGTGACCCCCCAGTCATTATGTTTGAACGATGCCAAGAAAACATTGCTCACAAACTTGCAAAGGTTATTAGTAACAATAGGATAACACACAGCTGCTAAAACCAAACAATGACATGTTAAACTGGTCTTTTTCTCAGACTTTTTCCTTGCTCTGGAAGTCTGATAATCGCTCTGAGGTGGTTCAGCAGCAAAATGACTACACAGCATTCTCCCACAGACGCAGGGGCTGGAGCTGAACTGCTCCAGCTGTTTGCAGCAGAGAGCAGGAGCCACATCCCAGCACTGCTGAGGCCTTGCTCCCTCCCTGACTGCAGGGACAGCAACATCTGCAATAAAACTACAGGGAGAAGTCTCCTTGGCACATCCCAAAATAAACCTCACCCTGAGTTTTCAGGAGAAGTCTTCTGACCACAGCTTTTCCCACTGCTGTTAACAGTCTTTGGAGTGGAAGGAAGAGCTTTATGTCCAAACTGACCATTAGATTTTCCCTGTTGTGTTACATGCTCCTGTTCAGCTCAGGCCCAAATAATGTGAATTAGAAACCCCAGCACAAGGGAAGGAGTTCCTACACCAGGCTGCACATTCCAGCTCTGGTCCCTGTAGCAGCACTACAGCAACAGAAGGTTTTGTGTTGTTGGCAATTCCCTCTGGTACAGACAGCATCTCTGCCTAATGGACACCAGACACCTGAATTTCAGCACTGGAAGGATGCCCTGGTGCATCTGGTGGCTGCCTCAGCAGCTTAACAAACCTGCAGCTTGCACACAAACTTGCACATCTCCTGTTTGAGGAGGAAGTGGCTCGGGTGACTCTGAAGGTATAACCAGTCCCAACATGTCACAACAAGCCTTAAACTGAGCACATTTATAAATATGAGTCACCTAAAACATCTCAAGAAACAACCACACTGAGTCCAAGTGTGACAGTGCTTCAGTTGTTTGAATTATACCTTTGAGGTCTGTCAAGCCTTAATTTGATAATATTAATGCAGCAAATTACCTTACACTGATCACTTGCAGTGCAAATATTCCCCTTTTTGGACAGGCTTAAATGGAGGAAGTTAAGAGTCCCATTAAAACAGGAAGGGTGCTCCAACAGTGAGAGGTCAGGGGAAAAAAGTAGGGCTTGGAATTTATGATGTCCAGGAGGCTTTGGTGTCATAGCCATCACACTCAGCTTTATTGGGCTGTTTCCAAAAAGGCTGCTGGGTAGTGGAGCAGGTTTTAACTAGTTTAGACAGATAAAGATCATCCTCGTCAATGGAAATGAACAGCTGGAGGCAACGGTTTAGAATCCCTGGAAACAAAACAATCTGAAGGCATGAGCAAATTAACTCCATCAACACTGAACTGATTAAGCAGGAATATTCTACCCAAAATTCTGCTTCTTCCCAGTTACTGCTGGTCACAGAGAGACCACTTACTGCCGGTAAGGAAAAGGAAATATTCTTCTTGCATCATATTTGTCAGGTACAGAAAAGAAGCTGATCTTGCCAAACAAGAGACACATGCACAGAAGCACATTCCTAACTCATTAATAGCCACGATGGCCCATGGAAGTATTCCCAGCTCATTCTGCAAACACAAAACCTTACACACCGCTAAATGACAAACCCAGAGTCACCCAGGGAAGTCAGCAGCAGAACTGGCAATAAATACATTCATCTAGACAGCTCCAGGAAGTGACTTTTCTTTTATGGTAAGAGTTTGTATAATACTTTATGAAGTTGGAAATGTGTTCCCATGATAGTAAGGGACCCACAGAAAACATGGTACCAGTAATTTTCTGTCTGTGCTCTGGATATCAGTAATTGGGTACAATAAGGATGAAAAGGTGATGAATAAAACCGAGTTCGTACACAGTCATGCACATAGAACAGGCTTACAAGGGGTCTGCACATGCCCAGGGAACTCTGAAGGGACATCAAAATCCGAAAAATGCTCACAAAATCATATATGATAAAAAATATATTTCCTAATATCATAAATAGGTTCTGCCCAAACCTGAACAGTCCCCCGAGATGCTGCACTATTAAAATAAACTGCATTCATTGCTTTTACCTTCAGGACCTTGTATGAGAAACATTCAGCATTTCAATGGTTAACTGCACGCTGCCTTTCTGGCTAAGGCTGATAATGCCTCTGAGCTCAAGGTCGAAGGCCGGAGATAAAGGACTATGAAGGAGTGAAAATTAGCACATTCCCTGGAGCAGACTGGAGCTCATCCCAGGAGACACCATTCCCCTCCCTGTCCTCTGCCCCAGAGAGCTCCTTGTTGCTGCTGTCAGTCACTGCCACCCACCAAGACATCAATCCTGCACCGGAGGCCTCCCAGGTCATGCTGCTGGGAGGGGATGTGGGAAGGGCACAGGGCTTTGGGCACTTGGCCATATTTCCATCAAACTATTATGGTCTGGAAGGGATGTTTATGGAATTCCACGTGTCTGATATTGAATGCAGGTGGCTGCTTGGATGCAGGGAAAAATGTGGAGATGCAGAGGAGGAAAAACATATTTTGAATGGAATAAGGCTCCAGAAGAGTTGTTTTCCCAGGAATTGTCAGTGAAACCCATGCTGTGCACTGTAAGGGAAATTTACAGCTGTGCCAGGGGATCTGCAGCCTCAAGAGAGAGAAATGGAGGATTATGCTGCAGTGTGGAGAAGGGTCTGTCTCTGCTCACTGATTTCAGCAGTCACAGGAAACATCATGTTCAGAAAACAAAATCCTGCACCTTCCTGTGTATCTATCCACTGGTAGCAAGAACCAGACAGGATCCCTGGTTTTCTCCACCTCACTCCTTTGCTCTCCTCCCTGCCAAGCTGAGCAGAGCAGACACTGGCATCTGCAGCTACCCTTCCCAAGGTTTGCCTAGGAAGGATGCAGTGGATGTCCTGGATATCCTGGAGCTCCTTTGTGGGGAACCAGAAGGGCCCACAGCAAATCACATCAGCATAAGGCACCATCCCACCTTGTGCAGGTTTGGCCCAGCAGCCTCACAGCTGAGAGTGAGAGATGTCCAAAATCACTGCCTGGTGCCAGCTCCTCTCCAGGGCTCTCCTCTGCCTGCCCTGGGCTGGAGCTGCTCTCCCACCTCAGCCTGGAACACTCTGCACTTTGCCAGCCCTGCTGGCCCTGCCAGCAGCCAGCACAGTTTCGTAGGCTCATCTTTCTAGGAACATTTGTGCTCAAGATGACCAGATTCCTGTCGTTTGGGAGGTCACTTTTGGCCAAGGTAGAGATTTCAAAACCTGCACAGATATACATATTGCCAAGTTATACCCTCCTTGCATGACAGACTGCTCAATCCCTGTCCAATTTTCCACTGCTCATCTTGCACAGAGCTTTCAGCAGCAGCCAGTGCAATCAGATGGACAATTCTCTCTTGAAGCCTTCCGTGTAATTTATTCTGCTCATGAACTAAGCTCTCATGACTGCTCTAAAGGTTAAGTTAAACCCAACAGCTGGGCTGTGTGATGGCCACGTGGCTCCACAAACAGCAAATGGGCTGAGGGATAACCTTGAGCCCTGACCCTCCGGAAATCTGTGAGCTGGGAAATCCCCAGGGCCTGGGGCAGAGTCACCCCATGGGGACCAGCAGGGACCTCTCTGCCCTGACATGAAACCTCTGTGGGTGGCTTTTACAAGCAGCAGGCAACAGAGTGACTTCTTGGAGATATTAAGGTCTCCATTTACACATTCCAAAACACCAGTGTCAAACTTTCAAGGTGCCCATGTGATTTTCCATCCTACTACACACCAAAAGGGTCAGGATGAAAGAGCTTTCCCATTCCTTATTGCCTTTTTATCCTGCAGCACAACCTTAATCAGTCCAAGGCTAGGGACCAGGAAACTTTTTGGCATAACTTCTCCTCCTTATCCCCAGAGCCTGATTTTACATTAAATCAGCCCAAAGGTCAGTGGGTTGATGGTGGAAGCAGGTGAGCTGCTGTGCACGAGGCTCCCAACTGGGAACAACGACCACAATGTGTTTGTTGGAACAGAGGATGCCCTTTGTATAAAGCTATAACTGTATGAAATGAACATCTGGGCAATGAAACTGGATCAAGAAGCAAAAGATCCCATAGAACAAAATGAGGTGAGTGCACAATTAGTGAAAAAGCCATGTGATGACTAGAGGCAATCAGTGACCTTTATATTACAGCTTCAAAGTAATTGAAAAAAAATGTGTAAACAGAAATTATTTCATGCTCTCCAAAGTAGAGCATTTTATTTTTGAGATTATGCTAAGATAAGCTAAGAGTGGCTAGCCCTAGGTCTTGAAGCACAGCCTCTAAATCCTGACTTTTATAACTATTTATAAATTCCTCTTCCTATAATGGGCAATTACAGGCAGGAGGGAATTATTGCTGTTAGGCTGCATGTACATCTCTGATTCAATTGAAAATAGCCCACTTAGATAAATGATCAGCATCTTGCAACATCATATTCTACAGAGAACAGATGCTGTGTGCTTATTGGAATGTAACAACCTCCAATTTGGGAGAGAAATGGACTCGAACAGGATGCCAACTGTCAAATGAAAAGCCACCTACGACAGGGAAGCTCAAGAAATTTTTAAACCAGCAGCATCCTCCCTCTCCTCATAGTAAAGAAATAAAAATTATTCTGAGAGTTGTATTTTAAGATTGGAAGTAATAATCTTAGAGTTTGGTGTAGGTAGAGGGCAAAGGAAGTGGGGAGATGTAATGACTGGAATATTAACAGTAAAATACTCTGGGAGAGCTCTGCATGTTCCCACTGAGCCATGGACAAACCCAGCACACCCCTGACACTCCAGCTTCCTCCATACCTCCCCAAAGACAAATGGTAATTAGGTCCTGAGGGAACACATTTTTTTGACTTAGGCATGATCATGTGTTTCTCTTTAAAAAATAAGCATCCTTTGGGTTTAAATTCACAGGAATTATGACAGAACACAGGACTGGTTGTTTGCAAAGACCTATCCAAAAGGCCCTGTACTAATTTATTTTTTTAAATGAATTATTGATGATTTCTCAGCAGAGACTGATGTCTATTCACAGGGATGACACAATTGCTTATCATAATTTGAAATCTGGTATTCATTTGACGTCTGTGCCTCAGCGCCTTGTTGATAAATTACAGCACAAAGCTCTGTAGGAACAAGTTCATATTCAATGTCTTCAAACAAAAACAATTGATGGTTCCTTTCAAGACCAGAAATACATAGAAGCTATGATGGCTAAAGCTAATTTTAAAAAGTAACTTTAAAAAAATAGTTTGGAGAGGGCATCAGGCCCTGCTGTGTAAGAGAGGAAACAAAATTCAACTCAATTATTTCCGAATTGATATTTAGTCACAGTATTTTTATCTTCTGCTCTTCACAGCAGTGAAATGGAAAATATTATATGTTTACCCCTACGTAAAGAAGTTTTGGATCCTTCTAAGGAAAGTGTTCTGTCTCTTCTCTGATTTCTAGGTGGAAATCTAAGACGTGTCTCAGCAATCCTGGGTACTGGGAACCCTTTACTCCTTGTACTGCCTTCCCATGGGGTATTGGACATCTTGGTCTTGACTTGAAGGTCTAACCAAAAATATATAAAATACTGCATAAAACTCCAAAATTATGGAGTTTGGAGCTGAGGAGCTCTGCAACAAGAATAACATTTCAAGCAGTCAGGACTTCCTTAGAGGCTGGTGCCAAACAGTGAATGGGCTCTCAAATCAAGTAATCACAAACTGCTTTGATTTCTACTGCAAATACCAGGAATACTCCTGGGAACCTGTCCTTTTTAGCAGAAAACACAGGAATATTTAAAGTTCAAAATTCCCCAGGCTCTCCAGAGCAAATAAGAAAGCTGAGACATCTGGGCCAAATGTCATCCCAACAATGGAGACCCCGTTTGCCAAAGCACATGACAGGGGCTGGGTGTGTCACCTACTGGGCACTTTGCTTTGGTCACGTAGGTGTCACCTCACATGCTGCAGCTGAGGGACACCATTTCCAGGAGGGACAGCTCCTGGGCAAAGCAGCAGCATTTCAGTTCAGCTCCTTCCCAAGGCCAGGAAGGGGGATGTAAATGCTCAGTGGAAAGCCTGAACAGCAGACGTGAACTACAGCAGCTGGTGGCCTTTGGGAAGTTCTGAGCACACTCTCAGAACCATCTGCTCTTGTCTGTGTCAGCTCCCAGGGGAGGGATAGACTGACCTGATCCCAAAAAAGGTGGACTGGTCTCTACCAACTCCCTGGGCTCCATTATGTACTCCTTTGGGATGCCTCTGGTCACTCTGGTATTTCAGACAGTAACAGGGGAAGAACACAGCCCAAAGCACCATCACCACTGTGAGGAATGAGCATCTCCAGGCCCAGATGAAGTGATCAGGCAGGTTCCAGAATAGCTCCCAGATCATTCCTCATTATTATTGTTGGCTTTGCCATAGTGCCTCGGAATTCATCTGGGCCCTGACAGTCTAAGTTGCCCTGACTGAGAACAAAAAGCCCAGCAATCTCATAATCACCACTGATGTTTTAAAACTGAAAAACAAATCACCAGCAAAACCAGAAGTCTCTGAGGAGCAGACCACAGGACTTCACTCCTCTTTCAGTTTATTTTGTTTTGTAAAATGCTTGAAGAAAGGAACAGCTCAGTGGGGCAGAGCTTGGGACAGGGTGTGTTAAGCCATTCACCAAGAAGCCATGTCCAGCTCACACGAGTCCTGGCACCACTGGCTCAGATTCCAGTTCCAAACTGGGACAGGAGGTCTCACTGTCCTGACAGAAGAGCTGTAAGAGCACAGGTAGAAGGCAACACCCTGTTGTTCTTAGCTAGGTTTGCTTTGCAGTTCTGCCACACAAATATCACACATGCATCCTAACATGCCCAGGACCTCACAGTGGAAAAGGTACAATCCCAAGGGGAAGGAACAAAAAGTCTCTCACAGCAGCCCGCAAAATCTTTCAGAGGCAAATGACTGAAATACCACAACCTTCATATGCCAAATAAACCTGGTGACCCTTCATCACAACCTTAATATTAAATCTGTTTGCTCTTGGAATGATAAATACACCACACTGTGTAGGCAAAACTGCAGTTCTGATTCTGGCCCATGGAAGCCAAACAGGACTTTGCCACTGACTCAATGTCCAGACCCTCAAAAAGCAGGAGAGCCAAAAACATAATCACTTCAGGCAATAGATAGATCTTGGTCTATCCCACATAACAAAAATACTACAGTCAGAAACCTCATGAGACAGCTTGTAGCCAAATCAATGCCTCAGCCACTTTAATTAATCATCTAGAAAGGGAAAGCACAGAATAGTTGCTTCATGGACATTGATTTCTCATGCCAAAACTTATGTAAATGCAGATTCAACTGCAGCAGAGATCTCCAGAGGATGATGGCCTGATTCCAAAGGCAGCTTCCCATGTTGCAACGTTCCAACTTCCCTCTACCAATTCTACCCAAAAAAGTTTCCTGACTTCTCAGCCTCCCACAAACTCCCATCTCCTGCAATCCATTTGATCTAGGCAATGATATGGGAGCATTAATTCTTGCAGTCATGCTGTACCCACATAACGCTGATGTTCTGATGCCCCGGGCTCTCTAGCTAGGTGCAAATTTCAGTCCTACATCAAGTCACTTCCTTTTAGAAGACAATGTATCAGGAAGTTAAACACCTCTCTTACTCCCACAAACTCTACCGGCATGCAAAGTTCCTGCTCATGCAAACATCCCTCCTGCAAGCGCTGCGAACGCCCCAGTTACAGAGCTCCATCAGCAAGCTCCTCTCTCTCCCTGCTCCCGGCCAAACCTCCCACAGCAGCCCAGCCAGGATCCATTTGCGACAGCAAAGCGGGCCTCGGCAACAATGAACAAAGCGAGCAGAAGGAACGCGGGGCCCTTTGTGGCCGGGGCCGCTGCCAGCGTTATGCAATGCTCGCTATGGCAACGCCGGGCGCTCGGCAGTAACCCCGCCGCGGGCACTGAACTCTGCCCCACTGGCGAGCGCCGGGCCGCCCACTCGCCCGCCCGGCCGGGCTGTTTACACTGCTCACATGACGGCCCGAGGGAGGCTCCTGCAGCCGCTCCACAGCCAGACGGATTTCTAGGACCGGCCGGCACTGCCAAAGCCTGGCGGCCATTCACTCCTGCGAGCTGCGGCCCCGCAGAAGGGAAAGGCACGGGGCAGCCAGCCCCCTTCGTCCTCCCGGCATCGACCCACTGAGCATCCAGCCAGCGGAGAGAGAAATCGGGAAGCTTTACACAAGGGAACTGCATTGTTGCAAAGTGTGGAATATGTAAAAATCCCGTTGTTTGCTAAAATGTACAAATAGTAAAAAGTTCTGATGGTTGATTTGTGGAGTTCCACCTGGCACCCAGAGTTGGTAGCTCTGAAATAAATAATCAATGTCTTGTCTCGAGTGTGCCATTATTGATTTGCTGCACACCGGGTAACAAATCCGATTTTTGCAGACAACAGTATCTTTTTTCTGTCGTTAATGAGTGGCAGATGAGTGAGGATAATGAACTGGAGCTGGGCACATAACACTCATCAAGAGCTGTGCGCCATGAGCTGCACGTACCTGGGTTACACGAGGTTGCACAGAGCTCCCAGAGCGGCACAGAACTGTCCCAGCCCTGGGCTCGGGAGTATTTACCAGGGCACAGAGGGGGATTTGGAGACAGGGATGCTGTGCTCCACAGGTGCCTTGCTAAAATGGTGATTTAGTCTTACAGCACAATACTGTAGGAAAAAGCTGCAGATTCCCAACCCCGCTGTGTGGGCGCTGCTGCTGCTCCCGCACTTCCACTGCATTTATTTCCACATGCTAACAGATGTTCATTAACTCACACCCCTGTGAGGCTGGTATGGGGAAGTGAATGAATAATAACCTCCACATTTTCTAATGAGAGAATTAAGAGCTCAGGTAACTCTCGCTGGAGAGCCCGAGGCAGCAGAGCTGAGTCAGGGGCAGAGCCTGGAACAGAGCCCTGAGCCCGGCTTGGGCAGCAGCACCCACACACACTCCAGGAATATGTTTCACTGCTTGGGGCAGACAATAATCCAATCTTCAACAGGCCTCTTACTGGTGCTCTGCAGAGCCTCCTGTACTCCTGGACACTTGGACAGAGAAAAAAACACATTTACAGTTGCAAATGATCCACCATTACCACCAACATCAAAGGAGCTGCTTAAACACACCCCCAAAACTTGCCAGGGGCTGAAGTGTGACCTCTGCATCACCTAATTAAGCTCTGTATCACACAGCCCTGGATGACTCCTTGTGTCAATACTCTTGGCTGCTCTTCCTTTTTGGAAAAAACTCATGTCTTGCCCTAAAACATTGTATTCTCCAGTAAAACCTTGCTTACTCTCAGTAAGAGGTTGTGTGGATTTCTTTTCTTTGCTATGATGACAAGTTCCTTGTCACAAGAATGGACCCTGCAGATACAGCTCTGAAAAGCAATGCCGTGACACAAGCACTGCCTTTCACATATTCATCCAGTTATCCCTACATCCAAATATAAAAGTTTCATTAGAAAACATAGAAAGGAAATTTGTTAGGTCTGGCTAAAAATCTTGACACTCACAAATTTCAGTTTAAATCAGTGGCCCAGTCTCATTTCTGCAGGAACAGGCTGTTGCAGTTCTCTGACCCTCACTGGTGGTAGCAGCTGTGGGAGCTCTCCTCCAAGCCTCAGTCTCTTGGCACCAATCCTGCAAAGCCCTCACCTCTCTCCCCCACGGGTCAAACCTCTGCCTGCAAATGTTTTTATCCTGCAATATTATACACTGCCTTTCCCAAGGCAAATGATAAACCAGCCTTGGCAGCCCATGGTGTGGCTACTTACAAAAAGAAGATAAATGCTGAGTATTTGGGTTATGAAACAGAAATACAGGAAGAAAATATTTATAGCAATGCTACTGTTTAAATAATGGAGACCATAATTTATTACAGATGTGACCCTTCTCCAAAATGAAGGGTTTAAATCTTGCTGATGCAAAGTAATGACAAGAAGTAGAATGGACTTAATGAAGAATTCAACCAACTTTAATTTTGAATTGCCCCCTTTTATCACCTGCCATTTTGCACCCCAAAATAGGAACAAAATTTGCTTCTTTCAAGCATTGCTTGCCAGACTTTTCAGTGCTCAGATTTAAAAACTGATTGATAGGAAAACATCCATCTTTGATCCTAAAAGAGACTGAGCACTTCTACATTTAACAAAATTCAGTTAATTATTAACAATTAAAGATGAGAAAATGGCATGGAACTCAGACAAGATTTGCTACACTTACAGTCATATATAAAGAATGTAGAATGTATATGCATGGAAGGGAGGACGTGTAATGAATTATTTCAGTGCAAATGGCAATTGCAGAGAAAGACTGCAACACTGAAATGAGAAACCCTGAGATTACTGCACAAGGAGTCTGCAGGTACAATGAGACTGAGTTAATATGTGACTGCTTAGAAGAGAGGGCATGACTTGGCATGGAATTGTAATCAAAATGTTTTCGTATAATGCTTCACTTGGCACAGAAGGATCAAGTAATAAGATATTCATCCCAAATCCCACCTCAGTTGCTAAAAAGGCATTTCAGTTTCCTGCGCTGCAGTAAAAATACTTCTTTCATTTTAACCAAAATGTATTTAAGAAGCTACAAGAGGCAGAAGATGCTCAATGATGTCTAGCAAAGAGTTCATTTCCCTTCTTCCTGATGGAATAAAACCGAAATTATAAAACACCGCCCACATTTGCTAATCTAGTGCACATTAGGAAAAAGGTGAATATGCAACAAATGAAAACATTCGCTTCCTTATTTGCTTCATCAAGTTCTGTTTTCTCCTTTTCAAAAAGCTGGTGTTGCATCATCTGAACAGCACTTCCTTCAGAACAAATTATCTAAAGTCTTCAAAATTGGCTTCAGTACCTCCACCAACAGCAACAGTAAAATTCCATATGCAAACAAGTAAAATTTGTCAAATTCTTGACATACTGAGTATCTTTTACAGTCTTTTACTCATGACATGAAAATACCTCAAAGTGTTAAACCATTTGCCAGCATCACTTACCTGCTAACAGAACATCTTATTCTATTCACAGATGCTGTGTGTTGGGCATTCTGCATTGCTGGCACTCTTTGTTGGTGGGGCTGGGTTCTCTTAAACAAAATTTCTATGGTAGTGGGGTTATATTAAATGTATTCTCAACCTAGCAAGTGTCCTTTAAGGAATTGATTCTTTTTAATAGTTTGCTCTAATCTGAAGAACCACACCCACCACCTTCTAATTCAATTTTACACTGGAACAGAAAAACTTTGTCATTTTATGTATACTGATTGAACTAGGGCCAAGGGGAATAAAACCATTAAGGTTTCACGTGAACTCAGAGAAGAAAGACTTCTTTGGTAATATAATTACAGAGCACAGAGCTTGTAAGAGGAAATGAACTACAGGGATTTATTTGATTAGACTTTTTTTTCCTTTTCTTTTTTAATGATAGCAAGGGCTCTCCCTCCCCCACCCCTTCCAGTCTAACAGTAGATGTTAAGCTAACGTTTGGCAGGCAGGAACTGGGACTGTTACAGAGGGATGTTTCAATGGGACACTGTTATGGGATGGAGTGTGTCCAGTTCTGTTTTGAGTATCTCACCCACTGCTGAACAACACTCCAGCTGTATGAAGAGTTTGTTTGTACAAGGAGCTGAGGTTGTGTCCCACCTTTCCAGCATCAGGGCAAAGCTGGAGCAGGGATCTGTGAGCCACTTCAGGGGCTGTGCAAGACTCAAGGGCAGTGACCAGTTTACTTCGTTGTCTTGGTAACATTGTGGTTGACCTGGGTTGACCAGATCAGTGTGACTTAATCATCCTAAGAAGGAAACAACTGCAACAAGTGGCAGAGCTAACTACTGTAGGTTCCCTGTGCCTCACGTTCACAACCTTTGGCCTGCCTAAGCATTCAAACAATTCTGACTGTGCACCTCCCTGGGACAACCAAATCACCTACAGCACTTAGTGCACTCTGTACCACGGATCTGTATCTATTGAGCACCCACACATTCCCTGGGGTCTCATGGACCAGCAGGTTATAAACTCCTATTTACACTGTATCAACATAGAGGATTTTACAGTTACAATGTAAAGTGCATGTTTTACTTACTCAGTGTGTTTAAGCCGTGTTTTTCTCTCTCTCTGTACAGCTTTGCAGCTGTGGAGATCATCTGTGAGACTAAAACAAATGGTGCCCTGATATAATCATAACAAAGCTGGAGGAAAGGCAATTTCAGCAAAAATCTTGACAGCAGAACCTGCTTCTGTTTAAGTCTGACCTGTTCTCCTTGCAGAAGCAGCATGACAGAATGTTTTGCAAAAGATTTGCATTTATATGCTTGGCTGTCAGCTCTAGATGTTGCTCCTTGTCTGTATAATAATTACATGGAATGTTCAGCAGAGATGTTCTCTAAATTGAAATAAACAGAATCAATACAGACTTAACTGCACTGTCACACCACATGAATAAAACATGCTGATGGATTTTCTTGGCCAGTGTTCAACAGGGATTTATTTGGTCACTGTTATTGCTATGCAAGGTGCATGTTAAATGGTGTGCCAGCAGTTGAAAAATACCATTTCTGTCTAACTTTTACCTACTGTTGTTACCAGTAACTCCCAGGATTCCTCAAATAGAAAGAATTGCATGTTTATCTCTGCCACACAGTACAAAGGAAGAAAAAGAAACATTTTGAAAAATAGCTGTGTACAATGGTTAACACTGGCTAGGGATCTAGGGGACAGATATTATATAAAATATTACTCAACATGATTCTACAAGTTAACTTTGAATCCTCTGCATCTCTTGTATGTATTTCCCAACATCAAA